TGCAAGAATATTGTCAAGACTGTACTAAATATTAGTTCAATAAACATTATTATTATAAACTGACTCTTGTGGAAGGTTTAGTTGTATAATTCATTAAGGGTTTGTGTATAATTATTGAAATATGGTATACGATATTCGTCAATATACCAGATAATAGTACTATCATAAGCATATAATAGGCATACTAAGACAAAATACAGTCCTGTGCCTAGTGAATAGTCTCCAAGGAACATAGCTATTTGAAATTATAAATAGTCATGTAATTTTTTATACTCAATAGATCTAAGTGTATATTTAGAAAGATATTTATATAAACAATTATTTTAATTCAAAAAACTTACACGATACATTTTTTTATTAAGAAGTGGTTAGTTTAAATTATTTCTGAGTTTATATTAAAGATATCAATCAATCTTTCTACTATTAACCAGAATACTAAAACAATTGACTTAAAAGCACACAATTTTTTACTTGAACAAACAGTTATTTTAGGAGATTCGTAAAACAAATTTATAAATGTAAGTATAATTTGTTTCATGTTACAATTAGTTGGACATTTACCTAATCATCAATAATTTTGATTGCCAAATCCATAGATAAGCATAAATAACCATGTTGGTATGTACGGTTTCATATTAACTAATATATACGTAAAACGTGAAATTGCTCAACAATCTGAATAGATTGGTTTACATCAAAAATGTTAATGCAAGCTAATAATCATTGTATAATCAATCAAATCAAATTTAACCTTTACAATTATGTTGCTATAATAGCTTAATTGGTGTAATAATATAGTTTTAATAATGTAAGTATCTATTGCAACTACATATATACCTATACAATAATAAATTGCTGTGTCAATAAGTTGCTACTGTAGTGATTTTAATTAAATAAAGTTTTATTAAATATTTCCGTTACTAAATTGATTATGTTATATTATTATTTTATTATTTCAACGAACTCGTGGGGTTTGGTTGTCATTACCTGCTTTCACGTAGCAATTGCAGTATTTACTTACATTTTAAGGTTTAAATAAGTACATGGAGGTAAATTATTAAGATAGCGTTTAATTTATGTTTATTAGCCGCGGCTTTAGGTAAAACTACACTTAGCTCTAAAAATGGATCAAAATTTTAAATATATTATAATTATTATATATGTATATATTATATGGTTATACCATTATAATCATTAAGTTTTTTACTGAACAGTTACATAAAGCGACTAAATTTTGAAACAACTTTGACAAGTTGTATATTTAAAGTTGCTGAGGTACTATTTCTATACTATTTTTATTATAATACAAAAAAGTCTTAATTATAATTCTTCATAGTAAAAAAAAAAATCAAAATTTAAATTATAAAAAATAAATTTGTATAAATTTTTAATTTAATGGCAAATTGGACTTGAACTTATGACCTACGTTAATATTTTCATTGTACTCGCATTACCATATTAGAAAATGTATTATCACAATATGTTTTTTACTTAAGAGTACTGATTACAGAGTCTTACTATATATTTTTATTACGAGACTCAATAATGAGAGCACTCCTAGATAATTATTATAGAATTAATATTCCATTATATATTTTTATTCCTAATGAATACGTAGAAAGGACTCTTGTAGAGAAATAATATGTAGCATAAATCTACAATTTTTTTTTTCATATGCATCGTACAATACGTTTTCTAAGTTCATAAATATTTTTATCATCAACAGCCAATATGTCTTTCACATTAGAAAGATAAATTCTATAGCATGGGTAACATTCTAATATACTAAGTTTATTTTTTATACCACAAAGGTGGCAATCAAGCATACGGCCCATCTGATGGTAAACGGTTACCGTAGCCTATGGACGCCTGAAAAATAATTCTGCACAACTTGCAGTGCCAATTAGTTTCAAATTAAGTCATAGTACGAGTACTAGATAACTGATACATATATAATATACACAAATAAATAAACACTCCGACGTATAAATGACAGATCCCAAAGAATACAAATGTGTGCACGGAGCGGGAATCGAACCCATTGCGTTTATCACGGTTTTTTACGTTTTGAATTATATGAAGAATACATATAAACAAAATTATATATAATACACAAAATTTAATTGTTTTTTTATTAATAAATACGACAGTGCGTACACAGGATATGTAAAGTAATAAATATAATATCAGACATTTCCATCATACTTTATTATAAAACTGTCTGTCACAAGATAATAGTTATAAGACATTATAAAATGGATAATTATACAGTAGGAAGACGTGTAAAAAAAACTAGAAACAAATACATAGTGTGCACACTATTGGGGAGTCTGAATGGAAGAACACTTGTAAACTCTACCATAAAATGTATAATCAATATAAGATACGGACAAGTAAACTTCTAAAGTAATTATAAAAGATTGGGCCAATAGTTTATTAAGAAAATTCCTGTTTGGTGAGACCATTACTTGATGGAAAGTTATGGTAAAACCTTTGGTATATAATGAAAATATATATGGTTACAAAATTAAAATTTGGTGTATAGATTCGATGAAGCGGCTTGTTGCCCTACGATACTTCTATATATATATATATATATATATATAATCTATTATCTAGTTTAGAATACCAACATCACGTTTCCGTACCACTATTCTATTTAATAATTTAAGTTAGGCTATTATAGTATTACATATATCTAATGATTTATTTGTACCGTCAATCATAATAATAAAAATATTTAGAATTCTTTGTATATATGCCTACCTATCTTAAATAATCCGAAGCCTCTTTGTGTTCTAATTATTTACTAGGATGTTTTTGTACTAAATATCAATCAATTGGGGAACAAGGTTTTTAAATTGTTTCCGTCAATTCATGTATTTCAAGTCCGTATTTTTAGATGGAAATCAAAAAATTTATTTTCAATGTTCGCGCCAGTTTTTGAAAAGTATTTACTGAACGCATAAATTAATATATAACATTCAGTCCATACGGACACATTGTCAATTTCAAGTACGATCATAACGATAATCGGCGTTGAATTCTTGACTAGTATTATTATTATGATAGTTCTGAAATGACAAATATAGTTTCTTTTAGGAGCAAATTTCCCTGACAACCGCCGTAGTCAATAGACATACAACGGAGAAACTTAAAGAATGATGTAATTTTTTATAGAGGAGTAGATAGGTGATATAATATTATTGTATTGTGTGGAAGAGTGGATGTAACCTACTAGTACTTTATATTCATTTTTTATATGTTAATTCTGAATGTTTATGATATTTTTTAATGATAATTATGTTTTCAAACCATTAAAGAAATATTCTTCGCTAAATTTCGTTTTGACTAAAGTTTATTAAATTGCAATACCGAAACAAGATAACAAAGCTATACCTAGGAATATCAAATTTTATATCTAATCATAAAATTAAAATAAAAGTAACATAAATCCGTTCAAATTATTTAACAAAAATCTAAATATATTATCCTGGAATGGCTGATATGTTTATTTCAAAAATAAACCGAATACTTAGTATTCTTTTTGCACTTATTTCAATATATACTTTAATATAACAAAGTGTAACGATAGTATGCGTATTTGTTACGAGAATATTAAAAACAACAGTTTTTAATATTCTTGAAACTAAAACATAAGTGATAAAAACATTGTAAGTATTAAATTAATTAAACAAATACACTGAACACAATAATATAAAATAATAATAATCAACAATTAATATATAACTACATATTTTACTTTTGGCAAAGCATAAGCAACTTGTTAGATTTTATCCAAATATAATATAAAACACAGTGCCACCAAATAATTACAAATTTAGTTTCGTTAGCACTAATACCTCAAGACCTCTTAATAGGATATACTCGTAGAAGAATAAGAGTCCCCATTTGGAGATAGTATAACATTTCATAAAAGCACGTAATACCCTATTATATTATTATCATAGTAACTTTTATACACAATATTTTGTTGTATACAACACAAATCGATATGCTATGCCTATTTGTACTACTTTAGTAAACGATATACTCTTATAGTAAAATGTGGAGGACCAAGAAGCAACTGTCACAAAAATAATTATCTATTTCACGGACTTTATATTAGAATTAATTCAGAAAAATAATATTAGTGAAAGAACCTTTTTTTTCACTAGAATTTCTATAAAAAAAATTTTTCCTTCAACTGAGAGTTACTATTGCTGTCATCATATTTCTATCTGGTAGAAATTTTAAATCAGCTGTAAAACCTGCATATGTGGAGTTAGACCCCATTCAAATATTCTCTCCCCAATTATTTTGAACTTTTTCACACAAACTTTTCATTGTGTGTCTAATATTGATATATTTATATATATAACACTGCAATAATGCGCCCATATAATACGACAATGACATTTTACAACTACTATAAATACTTTCTAATAAATATGTGAATAATTTTGTTATTTTTACCATTACACCTATGTTTGCTATCATAAAGGGTTGACAGAGATACAAGAGTAATTTATTTGTATGAATATGTAATAGACATAGATCTTTTACTGAAGGCGCTAATGTACACATATAAGACGTTCTAACTATTATTATTATTATTTGAAAATTTGTTTTGAAATTGAAATACGTTTACATATATGCACTCCAGCTCTGATGTATTAAGTCAACAATCAGCCGATTCTATATATCTATCCTATAAATCCTTTTCTAGTATATCATCTACGCTAAAAGTCCGTATCTCTTATGCAGTCTACATCTTCCTTTAAGTTTAAAACAGCTACGACCTACTCATTCAATGAATCGAACATTTTCTCTACGAAGTCTCTATGCTCATTAAATACTTTAACAACATACATTTCTAAAATGACCAGTAAGAGAACATACTATAATAAATGCGACAACTAACATTATACCATGAGATAATCCATATAAGAACAACTATATCGAAGATGTTGTCTTCGATATAGCGCTGTGTACCACAGTTCTATTACAGAAGATATCGACACGGAAGCGACAGGTGTGAACTAGACTTAATTGCTAGTTCTAACTACAGGTACATTTTAAGGTTTACACACAGATTTTATAATAACTATTACAGTGTTACAAATGCAAAATAAACGTTTACATCCATTACGACAAATATCTCCACTTATCACTACAAGCGACAGGTACACCCATTTGGTATTAAATGAAAATGTAATTAATTGGTAGGTATTTATAGTTTGGTGACATTTTTGCTGGATTCACCCTTGGTGGCCTCTTTAATCATCTGCATCTTTGAGTGCAGACGAAAGTGTAGCCTCGATTCTAGAGAGTATCCAGAGTACTTCTTGCTGCAATGAACAAAACATATAATTATTGAATAGTACTTTCTTATGTAGCATTTTATAAGATACATTTTTATTTATTGTAGAGAAATAAAGACTGTGATAGACTTTCTGTTTCTGCTATTTTAGCCAGTAGGTATCTTGTTTTGTAAGGATTTACAATTAAAGGTTATGGAAGTATGACATATTAGTTTTCATGGATATTACTTTGGCGTCACTTATGACACGATGTCCGTGGTATTACTCATGTATAAAGGTAGCGGTTATCACTAACTATCACTCGGTTTCAGTTTGCTTGACATTGTTTATTGTAGATATATACTACATACAACCATATAGCATATAACCAAACAGCTTACCGAGCGTCATGCAACATCTGGACCGCACGATCTTTCTCGCCGAGGTGGTAGTGGCACATTGCCATTTCGGCCAGAGAATATGGCAGCAAGAAAGTGTCTTCTTTGATGTCATTCTTCAATCTGTATAAACAAGGGCACGTTCAATTACGTTATTTGCATGAAACTTAACCAATCTCCTTTTGGTCTATAATTTTATTATTTTTTGGAGGCAACCGTCAATGATTATTGTTAATTACTTATAATAATAATTTGACAATGAACAGAAAATATACACTTTGTCATTATTTTCTGAGCTTCATTAATTTAGTGGCTTTGTTAAACAATTAAAACATTGGATTCCTATGTTCTTTTTCACTTCTTAGCTTACTTAATACTTATCTAATTGCCTTTTTGGAGGTTATGAAGATTATAGAATAATTGTTTATACCGTCTTGAATTTCCCTGATGTATTGTAGAAATCTTCTCATATCATTTAGGAATTATTTAATTCCATTCCATTCACAAAAAATACATATTATTATTTCACATAATTTATATTTAAGTAATATAATTAAAATTGCAAACCATAATTATCTGTTGACATATAAATGTAATTACTATTCACATGCTATTTCTGAATAAAATAATATGAACATGTAATTAAGGCATGCGCACGTGATATAGACTACGGCAACCATTTACCATCAGATAGGCCGTATGCTTGTTTGCCACCTTCATAGATAAAAATAAAATGTGAAATATTATTATAATACATTTTTTATTATATACAAGCTGATCCAGCGAACTTCGTACTGCCTAACGTATAAATATTGACATCAATATTTATACGATACTAACGTCCTTTCCGTAACCTCTCCACTAACACTTGAACTTTATGGTATGGTATTAAAGTCCAATATGACTTTTAAGTATTATTACGAATTGTTTGTATAGGAGTATAGAAAAGTATTCAGGTATTTTTATCAATTTTTTTCTCCGTAAGAGTCATCCTCAACGAATATTCTAAAATAAGAATTAGCAAAATCGGTTCATCTGTTCTGCATTTCGTTTTTATATTATCTAATGCTATTATAGAAAATGTTCATACAGGAAGACTGATTGTAGTGTATCCAGAGCGAGACGCGGCAGGTCCATTGCGGAGAGGCAGCATCCGTGCAAGTAACGCAGCAGTGCTCGGTTGTCGGCGTCATAACCAGCCATCCACTCCTGTGGCCCACTCTCCAGACGGTCTCGGGTTGTTTCTATCAGCTACAAACACATATTGAATGCCTCCGTGGTCTAGCACACCGCTTTACTTACGATGGTCGGGGATTCGATTCCTCGCACGGTACAAACATTTACTCTGTATATAATGTACGTATTTACAAAAAAAACTATCAATGTATTTATATCAGTTGTTCAGTACACATAACTCAACAAACTACCCAAGCTTATTCAAATTCTGCCTGAATAAGGATTCAAATGTCGTAATAAACATTTTCTTTGTAAAACAGCTTATTATAAAATAGAAAACATAATAGAATGTTTGTAGAAAAAAAAATTATAGCTCTGGCAATTTATCTGATTTCACAATTTTGTGAAATGCTTTTTTCATCAGGTATGCAAACTTTGCGGATGGATAATGCTCAAAACGGAATCGATACGTTTTTACAATGAAAGAGCATTTATAGTATTATTATAAGTGATGACTTTTCAAAAGTGCTTCAACGTAAGTTTATTTGAATAAATGACTTTCTATTAGTTATTTACCTTTAGTACATTCTGGGCACCATGTTTGTTTTTGGCGAGTATATGGAACATATTCCACAGACAGAGCAGTTCTATAGCCGGCAGTATTATCTGCCCGCCTTGGGCTTGATAGCGTGCGCAGCGACGTATCATGAATTTCTCCATCGGCAGTGACTTCCCAGCAATACGTTGTTTGTAGTATGACGCATTACTGTATCAAAAACGTACATTAATTATTCATAATGATTCGATAATGAGTGTATACATTTTCGACTACCATATACAGTTATTATATACAAATTTAAAATTACTAACTATATTAGTTTTGTTTGTTGATAATACTAGTGTATTTGTTTAGGTTACGTTACGGCCATGTCATCCGTCATACTCGTGAACGGGGACTAGTCTGCTATCATACTTCTTGTGATGAGTCTGCGATCCGAATGAGTGTTCAAAAGTTAAGTTTATATTAAGTTTATTCCTATTTCTGGACGAAAACAAAATAACTTTGTGTCCATTTATATTTGTCATTGACAGTTCAGTTATAAACAATGATATCACATCAATTTAATTCGAGAGCGGCGTCTATACCGCCCGGTTCCTGCCTAGTTGGGATTTAATTTAAATATACTTAAATATATACAGATCAAATTAATAGTTTGATCTGCATATATTTACATATATAACCACGATGTAGACAGTCGACTAAACCTCTGATTTGGAATAACATTCGTGAAGTTACCATACATACATCAATGATAAAAAGGCATTTTAATAATAGAAGTGTAACCATGAAAGTCGTCGTGTCAAATCAATAACACACAATATTAAATATAAATGACCTACAATTTACAACATTGACATCGATACGTCATTGACAACTAATAATAGGATAATTATTTGTAGATGTTCGCATTACAACTGACTGGAAAACATATAAGATATATATCGAACGAATTAATCCTGACTTGTTTGTCTTTTAAAATGTATATAGAAACCTGTTCAGTGAGTGAGTAATGTACTCACTCACTGTTCCTGTATTTTTTAAGTAACTGGAAGCACAACAAATTGACGGCCCACACGATTGTCAATTGTAATCGCTACCTATGTATTATAAGCTGTGCCCGTGGTATTTTCATGTACAAGGTAAAATCATCAAAATCCATTTAGTTTTTGCATGAAAGAGTAACAAACATCCATCCATCCATTCTCAAAAACTTTCGCGTTTTTTTATATATAAAATTCTCGTGTCACAATGTCAGTAATCATACTCCTCCTAAACGGCTTGATCGATTTTTATGAAATTTTATATGCATATTCAGTAGGTTTGAGAATCGGCTATCTATTTGTCATACCCCTATGTGATATGGGTTGTCCATCTGTAACAGTTTAATTTTTATTTTTGGACAATATTTGTTTATAATGTGGTATTAAAAAATACTCACAACCCTAAATTTTCATCCTTCTATACCAACCGCTTTCCTTTAATAGCGATTTTTATTTATATGTCATAACAATTAGTTTGCCGGGTTAGCTAGTAATATTAGTAAGATCATACATCCTGCTATCGTGTGCCATCCGCAATACCACTCATGAGGAAAAGTAAGGGTTCATACCTTGATTTTACGTCCATATATTCTTTATTTCATTTCACTTAATCTTCAATTACAGGTTAGGTAACAAAGGTAACAAAGCACAGGTTACAAAGATACGTTGACTTTTGGAATAGTTGTTATACAGACGCCCATGAAGACTTAGTTAAGCAATCAAAAAAATCTTCGTCGTTAGCTTCTGTTGTTAAAATATTAAGGTATGTTAGATTCGTTACCGGAGTAGATCGTTGCACTGCAATCGTTCGGCGTTCGACAGCCGATCCCCAAGCTGGAGCAACATTGCGGCTTTAGTGTACGAGTATATAGTTTTCGACCAGGAACTTTCTTCTACAAGTTTGTCTGCGTACATTGCTGCTTCACGCCAGTGAGTCATTAATCTGAAATCATCTCATATGCTTAAGACTTATACATATTTATAACCATAGCAGTTGAGAAAGTTATTACTGCTTCTAGTAATTCTCTAAAACCTGGGCTATAACAAATCAAAAATTTTTTGTCACATTGAATATTATGTAATTTGTAATAATTATAAATAATTTTCTATTGTGATCTGTTCTACAAAATACGGGCATTTGCTATTATAGAAGACCTGAATCAAGAATTTTAAATTTTTACTATAAAAGCAATAATAATTATAACTAGTAGTTACACTAAAGTTATTTCGGATTCTTCTTTATTATATATATATATATATTTTAATTGGAGACAGTTAATGCGTTAATTGGTGTACTTATTCCCATATACATATATGTCCATTGTATTACTAGAAAGGAGACTCGGAAAAGCGTATATTTACCATTCCTGTATATCAGTGAGGATTACTACTTACCATGAGATGAATCGTAAGCCAGCTTACCATTCGGATTACATACATAAAAGTATCAACAGTCTCAATAAAGCTTTCGAATAAGCGGTAGATTAAAAAAAATGTTATGACTATTCAAAAGTGCTAACTTCTTTTTATTTTTTTAAGTTATAAAATTAAGTTTATTTAAATAAATAATTTTCTATTCTATAATAGTATATAAAAGCAGTGTAACTAACCCATTGACCCACATGATCTCCCAGTAGCACATATGCCGGAACTGCTTCCAGGTGTCTTGGCTGACAATGGCCTGATTGTATGTCTCTATGGCGGGTCGGAACATGCCTTTGAGGAGTTCCAGTCTCCCCTTGAATATTAGGAACCACATGCTGTCCGGATATATCTATAATATTTAACAGTTTCGTAATTATTCATGTTTGTCATGTCATGTCATGTCATATCAGTCTGGGTATTTTCTATGTATAACATGTATGTTGTTATGTCGAAAAAAAAATATATCTATGTCTTGTTCTATTCTAGCTTTAGCTAGGTCTAGATGGCGCTGTGTGAATTGTCCTGAGATTATTATTATTATTTCGCTAGTCTTTCATTGTACGGTGGTGTGGTAAGAACAAAATACATTACAAATCTTTTTTATCTAATCTAACAATAAAAAGAAGATTGTTGTAAAAAACAATTAAGATAACAAAGATGTCGGTGCAAGACGACAAAACAACGAATTAACCAATTTGTCATGAAACAAACTATTTGAAACGTTGTTAGTGAATGTAAACAAATTGCGTTAAAATACTCTACATAAAAATATTGACAGAATGACAGAAAGGTCTCATTTTCTTCATTGACCCGTATAAAGCCAGGAGGTGACGAACCAGTTGCTCATGAAAGGCTAGAGTAGAAATTCTAGTCCATATTAAATAATTGTAAGGACATAATACATAGGAAGGAAAGAAAAACCAAACTACAGTTTTGGGGTTCTTTTTGAAAGACCGTAATAATAAGTGAACATTATGGGTTAAAAATGTATAAATAGTGATTTAATGACAAAGAGTTGGTGTCAATTGGACTGTGTCTATGTGATGTTTTCTATGACTATTATGTAAGCAATTTAAAAAAATGTATTTATGATACATTTTTTTATATGATAATATTCTTCTGATTATTGTGAAACTAGATATATTTTCTTCATCAGTACATACGTGTGAACCCGGAGCGACTACTTTATCATAAAAGGGGCACCTGAAGTTCCTTTTGCAGTATTTCTTCACACACGTGTAGATCCCCATTCTCGCCGGTAAAGTGACATATAACGAGATGGTACGCAAGCAACGTGAGGTCGCACAGAATCGAACGTATACCCGGCGACCGTGACCCCGACTCCAACTCCGCCAATCCGTGAGCCTGTAATATTGTATGACGTACAAAATAATCAATATTAAATACACATCAAACATAATTTTATTATATAAATATTTTAATAAGATAATGAAGGTTACGAAAAAATATAGACAATTTGCAACATAACATCAGATAATATGTGGACATGTATATATATAGCAACATCTAGTCCTAAACTGAACAGAGGTTAACGTAGTTTGGCACTAAATGTCTATTTGCTATGTACTAAATCTTATAATATACTAGCTGTTCCCGCGACTTCGTCAGCGTGGAATTTATTTTTATACATTTTTTTCTAAAAGAAAAAATAATCTAATATAAAAGTAGCCTAAGTTATTCCTTATTACATCAGCTACCTGTCAAAAAAAGTCCCGTCAAAATCGAGACGGACAGACAGACAGACAAAAATTATAAACAAATGTTATTTTGGTATGTTTTAAAAAACGATTAAATCAATATTACAAAGAGACACTCCAATTTTATTTATATGTATAGAGTATAGATGTATAAATAAAATTAAGCGGTTTACCTATGTTATGTGGTAAAATCACCTGAATAAAATTTTGTAGCAAACCTACAATAATATTGAATGAGAAACAAAAAATGAAAACATTAAACTATAACACATGAAATCAATAGTGCCAATAACAATAAACGGATTACCTTGTTGCCTGAGAAGCCAACGAACTCCAGCAAACTGATAATTTTAGGTGGCAACAATGAGATCATGACGTTAAATGTGGCCGTGCCCAATCTTACACCACTTTGAAAGTGTATTTTGGCTTCTTCATTGGCCCACTGCTTCTTGTCCAATATTTTGGAGCAGTCCCTGTTGTTAAAACATTGTTTTATATAGTGATATTGAATTATACAGGCCATTAATGATCAACTAATACTAATAAGTTTATAAATATTAAAGACCGCATGCCAACAGGTGGGTCAATCCTCAATGAAAGTAAATTGACATGTTTGGATCGGATTATCAAAGGTGGGCATTTTAATTGAAATAAATCTAGGGGTTAAATAACGTCTACAGCAAATTATTGTACCCCAAAAACATATTTAGAAAATAATATATGTTATTAACAATAAAAAAATGCAGGTCCCTATGTGAGAAATAAGATTTTTCAATGCGGTTTTCAACATGTTAAAAAAGAAACAGTATATTATATTATATATTGTACTAGAGCAGATTTTACGGATTTTAACATATACTGTGCTGTAGTTTTCATGTTATATGTTTATTCACATACTTACAAGTATGTGAATAAACGTATAACATGAAAACTACAGAATATAGTATAATAGTGTAGATTTACCCTTACTTTAGACATATGTTTTTAGGTCATTTTGAATTTCTCCGTCTTTTACATTATTACGTTTTATTAACGTATAATACAAATGAGTTCTTACTTGTAGCTGTTGTAACAGTTCTTGACTTTAATAGTGCCTTTAATAAGACCGGTGAGGTCCTCGCCTTCCATTATAGTCATGGCAGCTTGAAGGAGCAGTGCCTCGGCGTAACACAGTTCTGCGTGTGCCTCCACATCGGTGTAAAGACCGTAATCCGGCTGTGAAAGATGAACGCTGTATCATTAAATAGCATACATTCATATTTAACTTTCGGCCTCTTGTATACGTATATTGTATTTTATAATTATCCAGTCTGTGCAGCATTGGTATTCTGTAAGTGTTTTATTAACTCATTTAACTCCAGGTACTCCTATCAATTTGCTAAAGTTATAAAGATCCTACTGAGCTATCGATATTTCTAAAAAAAATCACTAGTGCCTATTTTACCTCTATCTCGAATGTGGTACAGGAGTCGTAATAGAATTTTACAGAGTACCATCTCACCGAGGATTCCGCTTTCGAATTCGTAAGTGAAGCTCCACTTACGAATTCGAAAGCGGATTACTTACAGAATAGTACTAGCTACTTCAGTTGATACGACTGGCAAGAAATTCAATTATTCATATTATTCTTCTATATTTCTTTGCGAACTTCGATCCTCGCATCGGATTTTGTTATAGTTGTCGCCAATTTGAGATTGGAGTATTGGAGTAATTGCCAATGGCCTCCTTGGATTAGATATAACAAATACAAGAATCAGTCTATATAATTTACACAAAAATTTATATCAATATGGTTTAATATATAATGCTACAAGACAGTAATTAATGTCAATTACTTTATTATGAGTTATTAACGTTTAATAATTTCATCAGCTACTCTTGTTATAACTCCATGGATATTTTACATATTATATAAATGTCAAAATATCAGCTTTTATTAAAATATGGAAGTAGCATGAATAGGTCAGCCATATGCAAAACTTACTACGACTAATGGAATAGTAAGGTATTTCATTAAAACCGAGGTATTTCATTAGTCCTAGTCGTACAATCGTTCATAAGCCAACGGTCGTAAATACTTACGTCAAATGCCTAATGTCTATAGGCATTCTGCGTCACATATGCATAAATATCTTCAATTTGAGAATAAAACCTTATTTTATAGAATTTGGCAATATTTTTGATATGACCACATGAGGGAAAATGTTATAACATATGTAACTTACATATACTAATTTTTAGTATGCAGTTCATTATTAATAAGAATAATAATGTCTATAACCATTCTAAGTCACACATACATAAACAACAATCTTCAATTTGAAAATAAAACCCATTTTTATACATTGTTTTATTTTGAAACGGTCATTATTTATACGCATAATTAATCAAAATCACGGTATCTGACTTTTTTTTATAAAATTTAACAACAAATCTTTATATATGACCTTTATGTAAGTTACATATACTAATTCTCAGTACGCAGTTTGCATTATCAACAAGAATATTAAGCAAAATCGTACCTTTTTGATTATAGTGCCGATACTCTCGACAAGAGTATAATTCCTCTTGTGTTGATTGCATATTGAAATGCAAACTTTGAGAGCAGCGAGAGCCCGGCTGATTTGTGTGTGGTCAAAGGTCAACATTGCCGGAATGAATTCGAATATGGCGGTTCCTAGACTGTGATACAGTGATGATTGGCACCTAAAAATATTTTTATACATACAAAACTAATTTATAAAAAACTATTTCATAATTCAGATACATTAGTCAATTATAATTTATATTAGCTGTTAACCGGCTCTGCATTCGCGTAGAATTTAACTTGTATTTATTAGTATTTTTAAAATAAATATAGCCTAAGTTACTCCTTATAACTTCAGCTATCTGTGAGTGACAGTTCCGTCAAAATCGGTCCAACCGTTTCAGAGATTACAAAGAACAAATAGATACAGATAAAAATTATAAAAAATAATTTATTTGAAGTACCTATACACCTTCATAAGCATTTAGTTCAAAGCTGTAATCAATAATACCTACACCTACCTACATAAATCACCATAAGAGGCTACAATTTAAACAAATGCAATATATAAATACATGGCATTAAAAATAATATACGTAATAAAAGTGGAAATAAACAAAAAAGTAATAATTAAGCTTCATTTCATATTTGACAAGACAAAATAAATGAAGCATTGAAAAGAAGAGAGCCTGTTGTAAGAACTGGCCGATGTTTTCATAACTCCCTAAACTTAAAAAAATACTTCTTACGAAGTTGTAATCGTGTATTAATTTATTCAAAGATATCTATTTATTTAAATGAATCAATCTAAACATACCAGGGTTTCATTATATCCATAGCTCCGACTAAATCATTGCTGAAAAATTTCCTTATCGCCACCTCGCATTCCTCCAGAGCGGTGTACAGATCCATCGAGCACCTACACAAATTATACCGATTCAGTGGAGAGGTAAATTTAGGTAAACCAAAACACGAATAAAATTACACACACATTACTTATACTTCCTTTATTACCAACCAATAAGTTTGGAACAGTTTTGAATAATACGATGAAAATAAATTAATTTATATAAACGTGATAGAAAAAAAACTAACTGTAATCTATATAAAATAATAATAATAATCTCAGGACAATTGTCATCTAGACCCAAGTTAAGCTAACTAAAGCTTGTGTTATGGGTCTGCAAATTCTGCCACACTGAAGAGGAAACGCCGCTTCACATCCTATGTGGTTGTAGCCCACTCATGCATAAACGAAATATCTCCTTTGGAAAGTTTACACTCTTTCCCGAGGAGATAAAAACCATCGCTCCTAAGAATATCCTTCAATTCTTGTCCCTGACGGGTCTAGGTAGCGAACTTTGAAAAAGGGCGAGCACAATAGATCTATGTAGGTCGCAGTGCTACAGGTGCTACAAACATCTGGCAATAGCCCACACGCCCTATAAAAAAATAAATAAATATATGGGTACTAATATATTTTTTTACTTTTTTATTATATATAACTTATACAAACACATAGATATTTTTTTTTATAAATACCTACATAATATACATAGAAAACACCCAGACCGATACAAACAATCATACCCATGAATACAAAGGCAACCATCGCACGTAAAGCGGTGTGCTAAACCGCTAATCCACCGAGGCCGACAAAAACTATGATTAAATTTATTAAATATACCTCTCTTTTCTGAGAGTCGATATATAAATTACTATGTAGTACAGTGTACAAATATAATAGTATATTTGGTTTTGTTAGAGTATTGACCAATTATAATATAATATGTGAACTGTTGTTGGGCGGATAGTAATTCTGAACATAAAATATCAAACTACCGATTCCTAATGTAAATACAGACATATTTTTTTTCAAATTAGCCCAGATTTACAAACTGATGTTCGCAACAGTTAAAAGATAACAAAAAGATTAGAAAGTAGATAAAACTTAATGAATATGTCTATTTTTCTGTTTGGGGTCATCCATAAATGAAGTCAAAGCAATTTTAGCCTTTTTTATCGTCTAGTCCCTTTCTCCATGTCAAGTCGTGTTTTAATGTTAAAATACAAAACCCTAGGCAGAAATTGATTATTTATTAAAATAATGTATATCCGTATTTATAATAAATTACAATTCAAAAGTATCAATACCACATTCTTTAAAAAACGTGTATATTTATGGATTTTTGAAAAATGTTATTATGCTATTAATTAATTTCGTAATGTGACTGTGAAGTATTTCAAATTGTATCCATTTTATCGTAATATTGACATTATTTTACATTCTATAATATTTTTAAAGTGATGAAAGACATCTAGAATTTAAATATATTTTTTAAGGATTGGATTACTGAATGAATATTTGTAAGCTGGAAACAGCAGAATATGATGAAACCTATATTATACAACTACCCTCATTATACCTACCATATTCTAATAAATAAATCAATGAAATATTAGTATTAAAATTCAATTTCACAAAATCTAAGACCTTGCCTATGTTCTTTATGAACTTTATGACACACTTGTGTCGCCATCACCTCTCTTAACGTGTAACAATTTGTGTATGAAGACTTATAAAAAAAAATTACTTACGTTGGCTGCTCTTCGGGTGCATCTACGAATTCGTCCTGTAATTAAGGTATAGATTTATTAAACATCATGCCAAACTGTATCATCATTGAAGCCGACTACGTAACAATTGGAAAATGCGTTTATTGCACGTATACGATAAAAAGAAATGTCTGATCACAGAGTACGTGAAAGTGTTCTTAGTTTGGGAATTTTGAATATGTGTAAGGCAGACGACGCACTTCCGGTTTCATTATTATTTTTACTGTCGCCGTTATTTCGTGTTATTTAAAATTTAGCGTACATTTGTCTTTATTTTATACTTTATCGTGCCCTAAACAGTTATAACAAAGTCCTCTTTACTTTCGGCATTTACATAATATTATCAACTTATAGAGAGAGAACTTAATATCTTAAAATACTTTTTAAGTCATTAATGAACATTAATTTCTATAAATAAACAAAATAAATGCAGATTTCGACTCTGCTAAAATGAGGCGCATGTTTTGTAATCTGTATTTCCAAGATTTTACATATTTAAAAACATTGAACGAATGAATCGTTATATTTATTACAAGTGTACAATAGAGCACCAGTAAATCATCTTTCATTACAATTGTTACTATCATCATACACGTAGAACAAACGACGTTCGTAAGCGAGCCGTGACCGTACATTAAATATTTTTTTCAAATACAATTTGTGACCCAAGTACTTAACTTGTGTTACCGAGGTTAAAACAACTGTTTTTGAATTTAAACTATTAAAATGTGTGCCAGTATGTTGACGTGTTTTCGTTGATGCATTTGTTTTATTCCAATAGGTTCATAAACAAAAAAGTTAACGAGTAGAAATAATAGATACGCATAGTAGGGTGGAGCGAATTTTTTTTTCTTTATTTTTGCTTCTGCATATCTGTTAAAAGTTGCTCTTTTGGGTCATCATTAAACACAAGAAAAATCAGTTAAATCATGCTATGTTTAGAGGTGCCCCCATCATCATGTTTTGAAAATTTTATCCAAATACTCAAGAAATCGCAAACATTTTATAATCGTTGAATGAGGTCCTGAGCAATACCATGTTAGTAAAAGATAAAAAGGAATGACCTTGAAATATGCCCGTAGGTAACGGGGTGCAGGGGAGGGGTATTTTATATTTTACAACGATAGAATAACATTTAGTCAACTCGCGCGCGTATAGCAGTTCACTTGTTTATCGTTCACTTTTTGACGCATCGAATTTTACGGCTGGGATCGAGATATTTAATGTAAGTAGTATTTTTCATCTTTCATAGTTGCAGTTTAGTTCATAATTGTAATTCTATAGTACATATTATTCGTCTTGATTACAGAAATATGTCTCAAGTTAAAACACGACGAACGACGAGCTGTCCTGTGTTTGGTTTGCCGGAGAAGTTACCTTTATCTCAGTTACCAACATATAATGACGTTATGAAAAATTATCTATTCATCAAACATGAATTAAAGCCTGATAGAACAACAAAAGAGCCGACAGTTCAGGAAATATCTGAAAAGTTGGCTCAACAAATTATAGAAATATGGCAAAAATCGTCGCTGCCAACTGTGAGTGTAAAAAGAATTCTACAAATGATTCGTTCCTACCACGACAAATATAGAAGCTTAATGAAACCATATCAAGGCCGTCAAACTAACATAAAGTACCGACAAAAGATTAATACATTTGTAACAGAGTCCCATAGATTGTTTGATATTTGCAGCTGCAAATGCAAAGTTATTTTGAATAGTAACTGTGTAAAAGGTACTCGTGTTCCCAAGGAGGAAACAAGTTTCTTACTCGATCAAAGAACAACCAGAAAAATGATGATAGGCGGTATGGATGTGTTTGCAACTATAAAGAATAAGAAAAAACAAGAAAGAAAAAATAAAAGTTTATCGCGTAACCAAGAGGTAAATTATGTTGATAAACCATGTTGTTCTCGTTCTTTGATTGATGACTTGCCAGTCGAAAGCAGCAGCTCATGCGAAAGCTTACTTGTACCATCTTCTAGTCCTAACCATAAAAAGCCAGAACAGTTGAAACAAAAAGCTTCGCCGCCTCAAACAAAAAAGAGATTAAATTTACCATCATTAGCTCTTGCCTGTGATCGTACTGGAGTCTCTGACAGAGCCGCTGCCATTATAGCTTCTTCTGTCTTAAAAGATGTTGGCATTATTTCATCAAACGATCCAAGTCATATCATTGATCGTTCAAAGTTGCGCCGTGAAAGAACTAAAGTCAGATCAACTTTACAAGAAGCAAACTGCAATAAAATCCTTCGCGGTATGTATTTTGATGGAAGAAAGGACAAAAGTTTGGTTTGTATTAAGAAAGAAGACAAATTTTACAGAAAACGGCTGATAGAAGATCATTATGTGATTTTATCGGAACCAGGAAGCGACTATTTCGGGCACGTCACATGTGACTCGGGGACTGCTAAAGTTATTAAAGATACTATAATAACTCACTTGAAATCTAAGTCGGTGAAACTGAGTGAAATAGCTGTTGTTGGCTGCGATGGAACAGTAGTGAATACAGGTTTCAAAGGTGGTGTTATTCGTCTAATGGAAGAAGAACTAAACAGACCATTACAGTGGTTTATCTGCCAGTTACATTCAAATGAATTACCACTGCGACATTTGTTGTTACATTTAGATGGAAAAACTATAGGGCCCAAATGCTTTTCAGGTGCCATCGGATCTCAATTACAAAATTGTCAAACAATGCCGTTAGTCGAATTCACTGTTATACCAACAAAATTACCTGAAATTACTAGGAAAGAGCTGAGTACTGACCAAAAATATCTTTACGATGTAATGACCGCTATCAGTACTGGTAAATTTGCTTCTGATTTAGCTAATATGGAACCTGGGCCCCTCAATCATTCTAGATGGCTAACAACAGCTAATCGAATTTTAAGATTGTATGCTGCAATAACTGACCCAGAAGAAAAGCTAGTGGTGTTAGCCACGTATGTGATGAGGGTTTATGGACCGATGTGGTTTACAATAAAATGTAATTCCTCGTGTATTAATGGAGCCAAGCATTTGTGGCAAACGATTAGTCTTAGTCGCTATTTGAACTGCAATTTGAAGGCTATCATTAACAAGATAATCCAACGAAATGGATATTTCGGTCATCCAGAAAATCTTCTCATTGCCATGCTCGGCGATGACAGAGAGATTATACGGGATCTTGCATATCGAAGAATTAAAAAAGCAAGACTAGAGAATGCTCGAGAACTTCGAACGTTTAAGGTGCCTGCATTTAATTTCGACGCCGAAGATTATCCTGACATCATTATGTGGCAAGACTGCGAGATAACTGAGCCTTTAACTTTAAAAATGTCTGATGAGATATTGAAAGACATTGTTAAAACGGTCTCGGAACATGTCATAACATTAACGATTTCCCATGCCACACCCAAGCCGTAGAGCGGTGTATCAAGTTGGTGACAGAAGCATCAAATGCAGTTTGTGGGGAAAATAAACGGGATGGTTTTATTAGGGCAAGACTACTATCCCGTCAACGAATGCCTAATTTCGACACAAAAAAACAATTTGATGTTTAAATTAGTGTATATTTTTTCTGAATAATGTTTACAATAAATTATTATAAAATAAAAAAAAAAATTATACATTTGTGTTGGCGCACCTCAAAACATTAAAACAGGTGGATGAAATTTTGTACGTTTGTTTTATATATTATAAGGCAACTTTTAATCGCTATGCCGTTGAAAAAAAAAAAGAATTTTTGAAAACTCCATACATTATCGCTCCACCCTAACGCATAGCTCGAATTATTTAATTTTTTTCCAGAAACACGCTTCAGACTATTTATGTGAACAATGTGTATGTAAATATATTTATAGCAAAAATCTACTTAAAACCACGTGCAAACGGAATGTAAATTACTGCGTTCAACCATGTCGGGCTTGTGACTATGGGGTCATTTTGACATTATGTTGGTAGCTATGAAAAGGATTACAAATATCCATACAAATTTCTGAGAACTATATACTAAGAATTTCAATTATACATAACATATAAAAGGAATTCATACTCAAGGATTTCATACTGCGATAATATTCTCTATAGACTCCCGATATTCCGATACAGTCAGTCCTGGTCACTGGTTCACTAAATGGTAACTATTCTCTTTAAATTATTTGTACTTGTAAATAACCGTGAAAAAAGGTTAATACAATTTTCATCCAAAAAACTGGCAATTCTACTATTACATTAGATTTGACGAACTGGTGTTAGGTTAGGTTAACAAAGCAAAGCATTAAACTTAGATGGAGTTATGAATGTGGATAGTTAAAAACGGATGGCCCCTTATGAACTTACCACATCGTCGAAATCTTCTGTAGCAATGGGCGGGCGGCCACTACTCACAGGGTACGGATCTCGGAGCAGAGAAGGCGTAAGCGCAGGTGCCGTCTCTTGTCTCAGCGCCATTTTATCTGAACAATCGTCGAATATCCACATAAATAACAAGGCATTTACTGACAATACTTATTTATATGAAATTTTACATGTAGTATAATGTTTTCGCTGTCAAATGTGTTTTTCTTTCATTAATTACACAGGAAGTTTCGCTGTTTCTAACTTTGAGTCTGTTTATTAGTTTATGTTTTTGCATTTTATACCTAAGAATTTAAAGTACTGTATAAGCAATATACAAACAAATACAAGTAAAATTGTCAAAGTTACCATGAAAGTACTAAAAAGAAGTTAACCACCTTATAATATAACAATACAAACAAATTTCATTTCATAAATATGTATGAATAGATGTATAACAATGTAATAATTGCGTGCGTAGGAAAACTGACGGTGGTACTCATGTAAACCTTGAGACTCATACAACAATAACTGAATGACACGACAAAACTAGCAAAAAAAAAAACAGGAATATCTACCGCAATTTTCAGAATTTGCCTCTACGATATGGAACAACAAATTAACAACACGATATAGATATTATAGGCTGCTACAAAATTATCTGGATTCAATATCTTATTTTTTTATACAAACAAAATCTCAGTCAATCCTAAATATTTAGTTTTATTTAAATTGGCGTCTAAATGCAGGTCTCGCCGCTTCGGTCACACTGTGCTGTGGGTACTGTAACGAATCAATAAACTGCCCTTGTATTTAAATAAAGATCTATTTATGTGCAGTATAAAATTTTGTTATGAAATACTATTTTTAATAACCTAATGCGACCAACAATTTCGTTATAATGTATAAGTATATAACTAAATCTTATTTATCTCATCTGCATGTGTACATACTACCACCAAGTAGCTGGCTTTGTAAGTTTTATATAACAACAATATGATCTATGATAGAAAACCTACCTAAAATAGAATACCTGAGTTGTGTTTTTTTAAATCCTTAATAAATCATTAATAAAATATATAATTAAACTTACTATTAACAATGGTATAATAAAATATAGACAAAATATGTAAAATTACCTACAATATAACATATAAAAATTACGTATGAAGTGCTGAACAGTATAGTTAACATAACAATATCAACTAATGACGTCACACTACAATCAACTTATAAGCATTTCATCATTCGTCTTCGAAAATCCTTGTAATAAGGCGCTTATTCCGATTAGTGAATTTTGACGTTAAAATTTGGAACAAAACACTAATAATATACACTTACGATTACGGATATACTAACCTTATCTTTCCGTAGCCTATTGGAGAGAGAGATTTTTCAGCTTATATCATTTTAGAACTGAAACAAAATGAAAACATGATAAATCACTTGGTTCATATGTATAGCAACTATGTAATATATAGAGTGAGCAAATGATTTCCTTTATAATAAATAGTTACGTAGTTATGTAGTAAATGTAACAAATATAACTCAAATACCAAGATATGTCAGCAGTGTAATGCGAAGCGTGTTTCTACATGAATGAGAACTCAGTATAATTATTATCGTTTCAGCATCAAATAGGATTCAGTGAATGGAAAATAAAGCATAATTGCATAGGTATAATTACATATGTATATCTCACATACATGTACACGGGTTTTAAATGTAATTTATACCTAATGCACAGAAACAACCTTGGTATTGGTTGTATTTCACATACCTACTTAATAAACAATCAGAGAATACTACGTTAAAGTACATAAAATATAGTATGAATAGGAAAACGAAAAATATTTAGTTTTAAATTAACATTCTGATTTTTAAGGAGTCGGGTTTTAACCCGACTCCTTAAAAATCACATCCAAAAAAGCAAGAAACTAGAAAATATTCTCAGTTGACATTTTGAAGTGGTCATATAAATACATATAACGTATAATCTAATATAGCTATAAGTTGAATTAGAGATTATTTGAATTGAATTCAAATAATAATTTTCTATAAATAAGAAACAAAATCTAACGACATGATGAGTCAAGTTTAAAACCAAAAATACAAGGAAATTACGGTTTTATGCAATCATTATATTCTGACGTTATTTATGATTTATGGACGTATATTGTACGGCATTATTAAAAACAGTTAATATTAAATAAACTCAAATATAAAACTGTGATGTACAATACTGCTTTCCCGCACATTTTAGTTTTTTTAATCAGCGCACTGAATACTGGATAGCGCGGCGCTGCGGCCAGTTCGAACTTTGATAAAAATATAAGCAAACTGTGCAGTTATGGAATATAACTTCACTATTTGCTTTTATAACGCATGCGTGTTTTATACATCGAAATAGTGAAATTAAATCCATTTTACGAGCATGTGTGTTGAACAATATTTAAGTACTCTAAACTATACATAGTAGCGTAGAGATATGGCTTTAATCCATTGTTTATGTATACCTATACCTACTCTTGCAATAAATATTTTTACAAGGAAAAATATTTATTTTTCTATTACATATAACATCTATTATTATTATATTATTCCACTGCCTGCAACACAATCCTTTAAACGTTGAGGCCAGTTATTGAAAGAGGCACGCACTCTTTCCATGGGAAAATATTTCACTGCCAATCTTATGACTTTAAGGTCTCTTATCCACATAATACCTACTCTGTTAACAAATTTTTAAAGCTTTGAGCATAAACATGGACATTATTCTTGTTAAAAAAAATCGGTGATTAGGGTAAAAATGAGAAAAAAATGAAAACCAAATTCCAAACATATCGTTTAATTTATTTAGAACAGTATTTATGGCCAGTCTATGTAATGTATTACACAAAGTCATCTTCAACTTGTTACTTCAATGCACGTCTTAATATTCATAATTCTCTTCTTCTGGTTTTAACTCACGTACCAATGTCTGACACTATATATATTTTATTGAATATATTTGTAAAATACAAAATTAAACATTATTTTGTAGAACGATCTCTCAGTCACGTACCTATGTAGTTTACATTTCGATGAGCCGACTATAAAATATAGGTTAATACAAAATGACACAAATCTGAATACGAACTGAACAAATTATCAATATTATGGAATAGATTGTGGAACAATGTAAGCGATCGTGTAGGCGGCACCCCGGATCTTCAAATGTTGGCCTGCCGTAGACGTAATAGGCAATGTGTAGACGTCATATAACTGGCGTTTATGTTTTACACAAAATTTATAATTAAATTCAGTTTTACGAAACACAACAGAGTAGATAATCTTTCAATTTCCCGATTTAAGTGTTTTGTTACAGTCCAACTAGATATTCTGGTTACCTGTATCTTCATTTTAGTATCACGTATACATTAGTGATGACCATTAGAGGAAATTTTATGAAATCATGTAAATCTTCGTTGTTTATATCATACATATACAGATTTTATCCTACATTAAAATCCATAATGAAAGTGGATTTGCCATAAGCTGTCAACGCATAATTTAGAAGGCTTGAGAAATAGGTGGCTTGGCAGAAAGTAACTTAATACCCGTAATGCTATTATAAAATGTGCTAGGGGTTTTGAGATACGTATATACATACATGCAATACCGTAAAGCCGCCACTTCAACATGAAATAAATTGAAAATTTAAATATAAATCGCATTTTGAATCCTTTCATCTCTCGCAGAAATTGAATGTTAAATACTTATATTTTCCGACAAACAGCGAGCTGTAAATCGCATAAATAACTCGCAATATTTAAATATAAAACTGAAGCTGAACTACTTTCAATATGAAATAAATTGAAAATTTTAAAATAAATTGCATGTCAGGTCCTTTCATCTCTCGCAGAAATTGTATGTTAAATACTTATATTTTCAGACAAACAGCAAACAGTAAGTCGCAGAAATTACTCGCAATATATAGAAATAAAACGAAAGGAATACATTAATATTCTCGCAGCAGCGACAATTCCAAATAGCGTAGTCAAGTACAAGTAAAATTAGATTCTTCGCCTCAATTTTGTATTTATTGTTTGAATACACTATGTAAAGGTCCCTCCTTCATATCACTCTATCATATAATACCATAAAATGTCTATGGTAAACAAAAAAATATTTTTCACAAAATTGCCAAAGTTTTTAGTGTAGAGGAGACAAAACCTAAAAGAGGTGCGGTAATTGTCTGTTTGTATATTAATGTTTCAAGTAAAGGTATAATTAAAATATATTTAAAACGCATTCAATTAAAATTTAATTTGTGTCATTTGTGTGATGTCAAAACTTATTTTCATCAATAGTAATCAATATATATTCTATTATTTTATTAATTTGTTATATAAAGTGTCTACAAATGTATCTACACGCGAAAGACCCTACTACTCGTGGTTAGAGTACAAATAGTAACAAGAATAATTAGAATAGTTAATTACCAATATTTTAAAAAGAAATACTATTCGCAAAGCGAAAAATAAACAAAATAAAGCAATAAATAAAATAAGTATGTAAAATAAGAAAATGGTTTTACGTTTTCGTACATCAAATCGGGTATTTTCAGGATGTTAGTTACTCTTTCATGCAAAAACTACTGAACGGATTTTGATAAAATTTTGCAGATACATCAGAATAACACATAGGTCAAAAATTTCACCCGGGTGAAATCGCGGGCACAGCTGGTTAAAATTATAAATGCGAAAGTGTGTGAGTATGGATGGATGTTTGTTACTCTTTCACGCAAAAACTGTTAAACGGATTTTAATGAAACTTTATAGTATTTATAGCCTGTGTTATTATGATGTATAAGCTTTTACATCATAATAACATAGGCTATGAATTTTATGCGTGTGAAACCGCACAGCTAGTGTAATATAAGTTATGTGTTTTTTATCAATATAAAAAATTTACATAAAGTAATGACAAAACGCAAAATAAAACAAAATAAGGGAAATGAAGTTTTCGCTTGCACAATAACAAATATTCGCAATGAAACGCATTGCAACCATAATAAAATTAATGAATAGGTTTTTATTGTGACTATTTTTTATATTAAAACAGAATGGATCATTTAAATTGATATTACAATTTATCCACTATGACTAAATGATATTGAGTAAATTCATTCTAACAACTTTATTAATAAATGTTGACTTTGTTAGTCAACATACATGTATTCTTCACTTAGGTAATGAGACTCAATTTAAGGCAATCTAACTGGGATATAAAAGTAAAATAATGGTAAATCTATGAATTATTTTCAACCTTTCTACTACTACTACTACATCTATCAACTGCAGACGAGAATAGGTACCTCTTTTGCCACCCGCATCTATTGATTCCGTGAGGTTGTATGCTTCCCCCACTCGGAGGTGCGAATTTCTTTTCTCTGAAAATGCAATCTCAATTGCCTGTCCGTAGTACTCAACTTTTTTTTTTTAATTATAATATTTTAGTATGCATCGTTCAGCTCTAACTGCTGCCGTATGGCTATATTGGCGAAAAGATTTGATCAAAGATGACTGTGAAACAATCCATAAGTATGCCAGTGGACGTGGGTCGTAACCTCGAATCAATATAGTTTAGTTCCTGAGCGGAATGACGATGCTCAATTAAATTTGCAGAGTAGGTTGATAGATGTAATGTAGCCTGAATATTCACAATATTGTCGAACAAGACAAAGAGAGTAGGCAGCGATGGTGACTAAATCGTTCGGGTTAGTTTAGGAAAGAGGTAACATATAACGTAGATATCATTGTAGAAATGCTACATTATGTAATAATCAATTTCAAAACCGTATACAACCAAGCAATCATGATCATAATGATCCACATTGAAGACATTTTCATTAAAACGTTTATAGTGACACCCAAAAATCTAAAATCATCCTACACTCCCACGCCGCACAAAGTCGTTGATTCATAAGTAATTTTTAACTATATTTGCTGTAACATTTGATGAAGGTTGTTATACAATGCATATAACGTGAGATGAACATGTAACATAGGAGAACAATATAGTGGAGCTGCTACGATGTATTTTTAATGATAACCACGAAACTAGTCATTTAAATGCAGTTAGAGTAGAGTAGCCTCTCATGTAATTACATTAATTATCTACCTTGTATAAGCTATAATAACTTCAACCTATTTTATATTTGTTAACTGCGAGTATATTTAGTTTATAACATTTATTACTGCAAATGAAATTAAATTTTATGGATTAAATATGTGTATTTAAGTTGCTTACGATAATTATATTACCTTTAAAAATACCTTCCTTTTAAAGAAAAGGATGCAGGCGTATTTAACTGTACTGTGCGTATGTGAGAAAGGTTAAAAAGACTTACATAAAACGCTGGATAAATGTATTAAACATTAATGAACTAGGTTCTTAGAAATTCAATTAGGTGTAAATAATTTATAGAGACCTCGTTTTATTTTCCAGTGTATGGAACACTGGAAAATAAAACGAGGTGACTATATACATACATAATAATAATTATATTATGTATAGTATACATAAATAATGACTTGCATCTTGTTAAAAAATCTTAGAGATAATTTCGAAAGATTGCTCGGTCCTTTAGCATACTGCTTATCCTGATTCGAATATTTGCTTGCTTACTACTGTGGAGTTTAAGTGAAAGTGGTCGCGCCATGCGGCCACTATAACGCTTTCACTTACATACAAGCCACGTTATATGAGACTCGCGGACCTTGCACACTTTATGGTACTTATGCACGTTTAGTACAAATACGAAATTTAAACAGAAATAGTACGTGGAGTTTATAATGGTAAATCTTAATAGTATATATTACTAGCCGTTCCCGCTATTTCGTCGGCGTGGAAATTAACTTTAATTTCTAAATTAAAAGATTTTTTAAAATAAAAGTAGCCAAAGTTACTCCTTATTACATCAGCTACCTGTCAATAAAAGTCCCGTCAAAATCGGTCCAGCCATTTCAGAAATTAGCCAGAACAAACAAAGAGACAAAACAAAGATTGTAAAAAATGTTATTTTGGTGTATGTACCGTGTTTATATTCATATGTATACGTTTGTAATATTGAAATAACCGTAAATACGTATAGTAAAAAACGGCTATTTCAATATTACAAAAAGACAATTCAATTTTATTTATATGTATAGATTATTAGTTCAAGCTACTGAGTGTAACAAAAAAAATAATAAAATATTATGTATATAATATTTTAAGGAAGGTGTTACATATGAATGCTTACAAGGTCAGAGGAAAGCCAAGAAAGAGATGGATGGACTGTGTGAAAGACGATATGGTAAGAAAGGGAGTAAATGACGCGATGACTGCGAACAGCGACAATGGAAGAGAAAAACATATTAGGCCGACCCCAAATAAATGGGATAAGGAAGAAGCAGATGATGAATAATATTTATTTATTATTCCATTTACATAGTGTAAATGGAATAATAAATAAATATTATTCGTAAATGACGACATTATACAAAAAAATAGTCTAAAAATGGTCAGGAGTTTCTGAATTAAACAGAACTCTTATAGGGCGTTTTTATACATCATACTGGTTTAGTATATACATACTCTGTAGTCTATCATAATAAAAGTGAAAAATATCTTTGCAAATTAGTCCATAACAGGTGAATACTCATTAATGGCGGGCGGATTTATAAACATATATATTTGGAGAGGCGGACGAAAGAATTGGCCGTAAGAGATTAAGCAACGAAGGCACTACATTAGGTATACCTCCACTCGGTCACCATGGAAGTTGACCTTTCCTGGTCCTTGATGACTTCATTTCTATGGTCTGACAGATCTATCTTACTTTGTATTCATAATGATAAATAAATAACCTACCGGCGGAGTATACCAATACCGACATGAGTACCATTCCATCATCATCTATTAAAAGAAGTCACATTTATATATACACTAGTATACATAAGAAGAACCTGTTTATAATATTTATTCGGAACCCTCAGAAACCGTGTCCGACTTGTACTTCACCCGTTTTATATTTCAGCATTAGAATAGTTAATCGGAGATCTTACCATAATATTGAAAGTTTGAATCACGGAAGTGCGTTATCCAAAGACATGAATACAGACAGATTACGCAATATCATGTATCTCTATGAATATTGGGATTGCCATTGGCCTTGCTCTTTATTTGTATAGCCTTAGGCCTATTGCCATTTAACTAGGGTTGGTTCTATTCGTTATCCATTGCTTTCGTTATCGTTCTGTGTAGTCGATTCCTTAAATTAAGTCATCGCGTTAAAGTTGCTATTAATTAGCAACAGCTAAATCAGTAGAAAGGTCATCCTCACCGCTTTGGGTCTTCAGTACTTTTTGTTGATAATTGTGTTATCCTACTCATTCTGTCATGTCTCTCGACATCCTTATTTTGGTCGCGTGTATTTGATTTTCAGGGTTCAGTAATTATTTCTAAATACTTTACTTTATTTTATTTGTATGTATCAGACCCAAGAGTTATGGTCATTTCTTCGAGTTTATTAAGAATTTTGTGATATAGGATTTGCTTAAAACTGTTTTAAAATAATTCTCAGTTTATAAACCAGAATATGCTGTATTCACAAAACAAACACCATACACAACTCATTCCGCATTTGAACAATTTTAAATAGTAGTAATTTATTTACATAAAATCATGTGCCAGCAGAGTTGTGTCTGCCTTAATACAGAAAAGAAACAAATATTAAAAAAGTAATTGTAACCCGCCACTTCCTCTGCACAAGTTTTGAAACCTTATTTATTAACCACCTTATTTATTAACCCATTCCCAATTCTCTACAAATAAATAAAATGTTTGTGTCTGTTTGTAATTCCAAATTAACAGTTTTCATTTAAAAATTTCATATATTTTATTTTTTTAACAAAATATATAAAAAGTGATATTCCGTGAGGATGGAATTGCAAGTAGTAGCTAGTTATTTTGTATGACACACCCATATCTCATAATAATCTCAGAGTAATATGACTTAGGACAAACTGATAACCAAAGCAATCACCTAAAAATAAACAGAAACAAAATTAATACATATTTACTCATTGTCTATAAATCAGAATAAAGGCTTTATTAGTATTATTATTATATAATACTATTATGTCTCATAACACTGTCTTTTGATGGGATCATAATAGCAAATTGAATTAAGATTCATTAAGCTGTTTTGTTGAAAAAAGGTAACATACAGACGCTTTTTCACTTATAATATTAGCATGGTTATCCATGTTTTAGACTTTGACTACAGAAAAGCTCATTCAATTCAATGTAAAGTGTCAATATTGTATTTTTTAAAACCAATGTGGCAGACTTATTAGAGTGCATTAATTAATCTATTGCAAATATTCAAAATTCTTAATAATATTAATAATATGTATGAAAAACATTCAGTAATAGCTAATCCTAACGTACATAGAACTAGTAAGGATAAGATAAATCCATATCCATATAAAAATATAACATAATATGTGTACTATTTTTCTATGGATGAATGTGAAATGGCCCACACATTGGTAGTAACAGTATGCACTGGTTGACAATAAATTCAGTCTAGTTATCCCATTGTGGCAAATTCATTAAAAATTAACCACCATAGTTTCCAGAGTTGACTGCATGTACGCCAAACTCATATGGCTAAGCATGGGTCTAGTTCTGTTTACTAACAATTCATGAGCCCTCAAGATGGTATGTTGGATATTTACTCCTCTAGTTTTGTCTTCATTTATCTCTGTTTTTTAAGTGTGTTTTCCAACATTTCTAACTCTACCCATTTGGTGCTTTGCTATACTAGGGCACCAGTAAAACATCATAGAATAAAGATGAAGTCATAATCCATTGATTTCCAGGGGCCACACAGGTCTAACTGACATGGTACATCATTAGCATTGGGGTCACTTTCATCATCTGCCTACTGCATTCCACTGTTAAACACACTCCTCTCCCAAGGCTCGCCACAATCTTCAGCTCTTCTCTTCCAGTTATTAACTGCAATCTCATGTATGTTGTCGCTCCACATTAGACATCATACATTGTTTCGCAAAATTATGTCTTCAGTCTCCACCTTAGAACACCTCTACTCCAGCGAGCATCAGTTCAATGACAGATATGACCAGACCACTGCCACTCCAATGTGCATATACAAAATGCTATGTCAGGGACCTTAGTTCTCAGGAGAATAACTTCATTTTAGATTTCATCCCTTAGAGACACTCCAAGTAAAGCTCTTACCATAGCTTGTTGGGCACTTTTAGAGTTGGTGTACCAGTGCTATTGTCCACATTCGGCACCATAAGTAACAATCAATAATAATAACAAACCATTATGCATCTTCCTTCCCCTGGTGCACATACAATATCATTAAAATGCTAACTCTGGACAATTAACACAGCACTATTCAGTTTATTCTTCTTTTGTATATAAGTATATACAAAAGAAGAATAAAATTTACATATATAAAACAATCTGATCAATACAAACATTGACATACATGAATACCAATGATTGCATTGTGTGAGGAATTGAACCTGCATCAAATGCAAGGAAAGTGATGTGATAAACTGTGTCAGTTTATCACATCACAGACATTAATTCATTTTGATACTGTTGTCAGATGAATCTTGTGAAAGTGGCAGTTGGACAATCAAATATTTCTAAAAAAATACTGAGGGTATTTGAATAAATATTATTTATTCTGTATTCTATATCTCACTATTGTGGCATTGATTCTGGGGTTTTGTTCATAATAATATAATATTTAAAAGGTAAATTCATGATCATCACCAATAGTAAAAATATTTTACTTGGGATTAATTTTGTAATCACTTCATTCTCTTCATTGAATTATATCTTTAAAAATACAGTAATAGAGTGTGGTTTATTGTCAAGTGATTTTAAATCTCATTTATAATTTAATAATAGACAACATTTTTGTAGATAGCTTTATTAGCTTTTATTCTTCCACATGTAATGTTAACAGTTTTACAAATAAATAACATTGAACAATTAGATGAGAAAGACAGTAGACCAAACTAGGTTCCTCTGTGCTATGAGTCTCCTGGCACTAAGTAATTAGTAGATAGTAGACATTAATCGAGAGGTAAATTATTGATTGTGATTAAATGTTTTAAAATTTACAATTTATATTTATAATTCAACATATTACATAGTTTAATTAATCAACTACTAGTTGATCAAATTAATATACACAAAATAATAGTTACAAGATCTATAAACTTACGCGGTATTTATACTCCTGCAAAATCAGCTTAAATTATCACACTGAATATATTTTTAATAACACACATATATTTTTACAATAATGCACAATTTCTTTAGAATATGTTCGTGAACGTTCGCATATCGTCTTACATTTAATAGAAATCAATACTTAAAAATAGTAGAATAATATTAAAAAAAAAGCGAATTTCTACTATTGACAATCCAAAATCTCTTTTTAAAAACAGATATCACAAACTATAAGATAATACTGCTATATGTTATCGCTACCAAAGAGGATAGCAATATAAAAAAAAAAAGAAAATCGTTCCGTAAATAACGTTACTGAAGCAAACTGACAGTGACTAACTGACAGTGAAAGATACTGTACTCTCCGGATTGACGTTTAGTATGACTTATTAGTGCAGTGTTGCCAACTTTAAAAGTTTTTGTCTCCTACGAAGAGTTAAGATGTAAAAAATATTGTATATAATACTGGTTCAATTTGTTTTTCCTAGTCTGCAACCATTTATTAGAAGTATAAATTATGATATTTATTAGTTATAAATTTGCAGGCTATTTTTCCAAAGTTGACAAGGAACGTATTTTAAAATATTACTAAATAATTAAGCTTGCGTTTGACGAAGCATATTAAGTATATTTTATATTTGCTTACTATAGTTCGGATCTAATATTGAATTTTAGCATTCACCCTTAAAAGAAGGACCTAAAATAACTAAATGTCGATTTGAATGTCTATATCCTAATGTGTTTTCTTTTTATTTTAGTAAATTTTGAGGGCTCTCTACCTCAACATTTGCTATAATAATTAATAAACCTTTAATATTTCGATTTAACATTTCTATATTACTACTGGTATTCTACTTTAGAGTCTTCGTAAGAGAAATCTCCATGAAACTCGATGAGTATGTCGAGCAAACAGAGAAATAAGGCAGAATGGAGTATGGTCGTAGCCTGTCACAATGTAAAACAAAAAATACCTATCTCAGTTACCATTGCTCTCTCAGTCTATCTCTAAAACAAAATAATACCGCAATGCCCGAACATGATATTGTCATTTCCAACATTTCCAACTCTATCAATATGGCTTCATTTTCTAAAAACACTGAAATTAAACTTGAACATCTTTGTAGAACTTGTTTATCGAAGGAAAATGATTTAATTTCTATTTTTGACGAGTGTTTTGGTAAAGTTACATTAGACGTTGCAATTTCCGCAATTACGGGAATAAAGGTACTTTCAGTTCCATTTTATTTTATTTGTTTATTATCGCTTAAAATATTACTTATTTATTATTTGATAAAAAATTCATATTTCTTATTGTTTTTGTCATTAGTGGTATATAATTGTGATTTTTTTCTATCATATTATTTGATATCATGGATTTGCTTATTATATTTTACCAGCTCTTCATTATTACTGATATAAACTTTATTTGACATAATTTTACTGTTTACTCATGTCTATCCTCTATAAAATTTCTATCTCATCTGTGATGAAATGAATAGGTATTCATTCATTCATTCAAACATGTATTTTTTTCAGGTTTTAGTTGTTACTATTTTACATTCTGACAGATTATCATCCTTATCATATTTATCTTCTGCACATGTAGTTGCAGATTACAGAGGCAAAAATTCTTAAGTAGTCATTCAATAGGTATTTAGTTATTTAATTTAATGAGGTTTTTAGATATTTAGTTGTGAAGAAAACTAACAAATTGGCAGAACGCTTTAACACTACAATAGTAGTAGGGATTACACATATAAAAAAAATCTACATAACTAAGATAAAAAACAAAGATGCCTTTATTTTTCATATCACAGAGTACCGGACAAAGGCTTCCTCTAATTCTTTCAAGTGTACTCTATTTTTTGCTTACCTTCTCTGGTAGAGGCTGGATGTTAGCTTAAATTCAATAATTCTATGTTCCTGTTTGTCATGATCTCTCTTATTATTATTTCTTCTATTCATTGGATATTTATTTGTTTGTTTCTTTATCAGTCTGATTTCTACAAGAAACCACTTCCAGGTAAAATACTCTTTGAACAGTAAAAAAATATGACTATGCAAAAATATTAAGTTTATTTGTATAAAGATTATATCTGTTCTATTTTTTTCACATACTTGAAGTACCCACTGTACACACCTAAATTTATCTCCGCTGAGTTTATGACCCACTGTTTGGCTTTTGTTTGTGAAACAAAACTTTCAATCATTGTTTCTAGTTGTGTGGGACTTACTTCAAAGAAGACAAAGTCATCTGCAAAACATAGTTATATTTAAAGAATATACACTTGGTTAAATGCTTTTTATCTTTTTTATATATGTATATATACATATTCATAACTAGTGGGATAGGCAATGTGCAAAACTACTACACAAATGAGATTGTCAAATATTAGTAATATTGTCTTCAACATTGCTTTATTTAGGTAACCTATATCCATCCTTGTGATATTATCTACCTCCATATAAATTATATTAAGAACCGTACAGCTGTTTAATATCGAAGGTAACAAATAGGCTGATGAACACACTTTTGCATTTATAATATTAGTATGCATTCTTGGTCAATACCTGTCTAGTTTACAATGATGTCTTATTTCATGTTTTCGTAAGATCGAACAAGGTGATGGTTTGCCATCTACTGTATGTCTCAGCTGTAAAGATAATGCTTCTAAAGCTTATGAATTTAAAAAGAAATCCCATGAGGCTGACACCACTCTGCGAGATCTATTCAAAAAGGAGGAGAAACATCTTGTTGAAGATAATGGTACATACCAGGTAATAATATTGAATAATAGAGAAAATATAAATTTTAGTTTAATAAGAGATTGGAATTGAGTTTTAATGATATAAATACTTCAGACTATAATTTTATTTAAAGTTAGAATAAGTACCTATATAATGTTAAGATATTGTTTGTTATTTTGCATGTTTACAACGAAATGGTTACAGCCCTTTATGCCTCCATTGAATTTCCAATGATTTGTAAAAGCAGCCATCACTTGTTATTTTTATTGATTTTTACTAATGACTGTACCTACAGTACAACAGGATTTAAATTTCAGAATAATGATGTAGGAGTAAAGACTGAGCAACATTTAGTAGATGATGCTGATGATTATTTGGAGTGGAATGGATTAGAAGATTTGAATGATTTTGGTGAGTTCTTTGTTTTAATACCAATAATGATAAGGGCTACTAAATTATGAGTAATAAAATAAATATGTTCTTTTAGAACCAGTGAAGAATGAAAATTGTTCTAGAGATGTTACATCAGATCTGCAGTGTAAAAACTGTTATACAGTATTTAACACATATATAAAATTACAAGAACACATGAGAAATAAATGTTTAAAAGGTATGGTTTGTATATGGTTTGTATCTATGTATCTAAGTATTTGGTCTGCCGAACTTTTGAGACATACTATGGCTTTAAGGTTCTCGGTGATATCTTTATTAAACTAGAGCCTTTCAATTTGTATAGAAATTTGTTGCTATGTATTTTGTATATCAAATAGTGAATTATGGTTGACAATGACTGAAATGTATGCTTTTTATTTGTAATTTCTTTGATTTTCAGTTGAATTTGATGATAGTAGCAGCAATTATTGCCCGTTGTGTGGTACTTGCTATTATGATGCTGTTAATCTAACTAAACATATGTGGGATAGTCATGCAGATCTAATGGGTACTAAGAAAAGAGGAAGACCAAAAAAAATACTGACTGGTGTAAGTGCTTAAGAATATTTCTTTTTTTTTACTAGTATCTTAATTACCTTTAGGATATTAATTATGTTTTGGTTTTAGTCAATAATAAACAAATTAACTGAAAATGGATTCCTATTAAAATCAATTCCTTTAAGGAAGTATAATTGTACATTTTGTAAAGAAGAATTTAAAACCAAAGAAGAATATGGAATGCATCTTCCAGACCATAAAGGTATGTACTTTAATAGATTATACTTTAGTCTCTAACAATGCATTTTAGTATCTAGTTTTTAAATGCACATTTGATAATTTTCAGATTTGAAAATATTCTGTTGTTTAATATGTAAAAAAATGTACATGAAAAAGAAACAGTTTGATCAGCATACTTGTAGTGAAGACAAAAATAATCAAAACAAGCAAAATGAAGACATACAATGTGAAGAGAGTAATTTAAATAAAGCAAGCTTTCTTACAAATATGACTGTGCAAGAAATATTGAACCCCAATGATGATATGGTTAGTTTTTAAATATTAGTTTGTGCATTGTTCATAAATATAAAATGATATCTATCAGATTCTCATAATTTAGAACATTATTATACCTTACTAGCTGTGCGGTTTCACCTGCCTTCAATTTCAATAAAAAATAGCTGCCTATGTGTTATCATCAGAATAATCTTTTTACAGAAAAATAATCCTTTACTTGAGGTATGTCGAGTTTGTACGGCAGTTTATCTGTCAGAAGAAGATCTGCAGCAACACAATGACATAGATCATCCAGAGTTATCTCTTCGTTGTAATTTATGTACAAAGGTATAATAAAATATTTCTTTTTGAATTATTTAATTTTTATGGTGTTTTTAGATTGTCTGCTTCTGTACCTCATGTTATCAATTTTACCCGACAAACAGCTTGCTTTGTATACGAAGTTTCGGTTGCAGATTGACCTTGACTGCAATAATCTGCAACCGAGATTAGGCATAAGAAATTAAGGGATTAGAAGAATGACATCTTAGTCGTATGTAATGACAATACAAGAGTAGAATTATGGGTGTAACATGAAACGTGATGATCTTAGTGCTGTCCATATATATAGGCGACGGTTGCCACTTACAGTCAGTTAAACCGTCAGCTTGTTTGCCATTCCAATTATGTAAAAAAATGTTTTTAATTGGTACAAAACTATTTCCTGTCGTTAATCGGAAATGAATTAATAGTCTAGTTCTTAAAAATGCTGCCTCATCAGCTATTTCAGTCTTATGACTGATTTATCTTGTACTAATTCTTCTTCTTCTTTTAATTTGAATATCTTCCACTAAATAAAGTCGGTGATTTTGCCAACCTCATGATTAGGGAAACACAGTGGTGTAGTTTACGGTTTTTATCTTGTTATTTAAGTAACTATTTAATTACTTATGTCTACTTTGCTATTTGACAGTTTGTATTAAAACAAAATTTAAAAAAATGTAAAAGAGCAATACGCTATTTTATCACTCATTTGTGATGAATTAGCATTCTGAAGTAGTTGTATAATAAATAAATATAACTATTCACAAAATGTCATTCTATTAAGTTTGTTTGAATAAAAAATATATTTATTTTATTTATTTCTATTTATTTATTGCACTTGTAACTTAAAGTAGTACATGAATACTAAACATAAAACCTATATAAATGTGACTAAGGTTGAGCTTATCTCTGATAGAGATGTCTTACAGCGACTTTTTCCTGTTTCTAGTTGTTTGCTTCTGTCAAATCTGCTACTCGTCATAGAAGTATATGTAAACAAACTGAGAGGAAACACAGGTGTAATACTTGTGGACTCATGTTTGCTTTTGAAATATCACTTAATAAACATATATTGAGGTACCACGAGGGACAGAGTGTGTCAGTAAAATTCATGGAAACTAAAACGAAAGAAGATAAACAATATAAATGTGATACATGTAGTAAAACTTTCTGTAGGTAAGTAATTAATATAATAATAATATTCCTTGACAATTCCTTAGTACCATCTAATTATAAGCTGAGAAGAGTTTGTGTTAAGGGTCCTAAACAAATTATATAATACCTAGATATATTTTATTTTGTAAATACATGCATAAGATACAAAGAAAATACCCAGGCCAATACAAACATACATCCAAATGTTCGTGCTGTGCCCCTCGCACAGCACGAATATTTCGATGTATGATCGAACTTGCGATCATCGGAAGTAAAGCGGTGTGCCAACCACCAAAGTTGTCTTATAGTACACAATTGTATATAATTAAGTATAGCCAAAGTTGTATTATAGTACACAATTGTATATAATTAATTATATACAATTGTGTACTATAAGACAACTTTGGTGTTAGTTTATAAAAGTCAGACTACATTATGTTGTGTTATTAATTTACATATTATTATTATTAATTACACATTATTGCTTATTATTTCAGAAAAGATTTGCTTATAAAGCACTCCAGAATGCACTCTGAAAAATATTTTGAATGTGATGTTTGCAAGAAGAAATTTAATAGAAGCGATAACTTACGGTATGCATCTATATATTATATACTAGCTATCTACCTGAGGCTTCGCCCGCGTGGACATAGAATAAATAGGTTATCGCTCGTTTAAAGATCCGTGTTCAGTAGTGGGATGTTATATATCCTAAACCTTCCTCTTAGTCACTCTATCTATTTTATTTAATTAATAACGCATCAAAATCCACGTAGTTTTTTAAGATCAAATCATACATAGCTGTATTATATAGAAGATATTTTAACCTGAAATTGAAGCCAAATGGTATTGGCAGATCAGTTGGGATCATCGGTATTCTTGGTATATGAGCTAGTTGCCCGGCTACCGTAGCCCGTGCCGGTGGTAATGGTCGCTACAATTAAATTGTCCTTCAATTCCTTAGTAAGCAGCCTCTGATGGGTTTAGATTTCTCAAAATTATGATTGGATCATGCTTTTGAGAGATTCCGATTTTGACGTCAAATCGTATGGTAGCAGTCCAGAAGGGTTTAGTAAAAACTCCTGTCGATAATGAACTGCGTTTTCGATATTAGTCACGCTGTTGATTGATTTGTATTTCTTTATTTGTCCGGGAACCTTTCGAATAATCAGATTATTTAGTTGACAGTATCATTCTTATGTAACTCTATTGCCCTAGATGCCAACCAATGAAAACCTTTTTCGTGTAAATTCTCGATGTCAGGGTATGCAGCATCTTTCAAAATTTCAAAATTATGGATGGTTTGACCTAAGGACTCATCTAGAAAGATATCACAATATCTGTTTAAATTAGGAGTGTGAAAAATTTCTTCCCCAAGGTTGAGCAGTTGTTGTGGGAAATCACTATCTGTGATTCCATGATGATGAGCTCTCGACTCATATTCGTCCGTAATTTTAAACTTTCAATTAAAGTTCATAAGGGAGACGATGTTAATGACAGAGAGAGTCTGTCAGGAATCGGATTATATTACGAGAATGTATTAAGCATTCATCTACTGCTTTCTTATAAAAATTAAAACTTTTAACTTGTAGGAGTCCTTCCATTTATACAGAAATTAAATAAATTATAAATGTGTTATTTAAGAAATTTTACCAGTCAAAGACTTTGATTGAATATAATCTAAATCTATAACAAAATGTATTAATGATATATACATAGGTACACAGTGGTTTATTAAATTTCCATGTATAGTTATAAAATGAATATATATATTTTAAAATTTAATGTATATCTTTACAGTTCCCATAAAAGAACACACGAGCCACGCGACAAAGCTAAAGTGAATACTTGCTTGTGTTTATACTGCGGACGTAGTTTTAACAACTCGTCCAACCTAATCGTACACATGCGTCGTCACACCGGGGAGAAACCCTACAAATGTGATTTCTGTGATAAAGGTCAGTATTACACCGACGGTCACGTTTTATACCAGTTAGTACCAGCAATATCTCAAGGCGCTATAAACTGTCTGAAAATACTTCTTCCCTTATCAATAAGGGAAGAAAGTATGTCACCTATTCTACTTCAAGAAAATATTATACCAATATATTACAATTTTATTTCAACAATAATTGTTTTTTTTTGTTTTTATTTTAATTAGGGAATTGAATAGTGGAGAGTAGGAAACATCGCAATATATAGAGATTGATATAATAATTTTTTGTATTATATACCTTAAAGTTATATAAATAAAAAAGACAGTTCATTGGTACAATATATATTTCATAATATACTATGTAATGTACATACAAATTATTATATCGGAACTGCTCTTTTTTCTAGGGTTCCCAAGATCATCTGATCTTCAATGTCATAGAAGATCCCATACTGGGGAAAAACCATGTGTATGTGGTATTTGTGGGAAAGGTAATTTTACTATAATGCTAATTATATAGATTTCTTCATATAATTAATATATATATGCTTAAATATGACGTAGTTCATACTGAATGTTTTTAGAACTTACCAGTAATATTGGGTTGACAACTGACTTTCTTGCGGATATGTTAGCGGATTTTAGCATCAGAATGTATCTTTTTTTTATTTATAGTAATTAAGTTGATGACCATTTGTTATCATTTAGATAGTGGCATAATTCCATACATTCATAAAATTTGTATTACTTGTAATAAAAATTCCTGATGCTGGTGAGCGTTCAGTAAATCCAGTTTGTTGACATAGCTGAGCTGTTATCTTTATTCAATGCCTGTATACGATACATTGGTCTGAAACGATAAGAACCGTTAAATGGGGGTCTTCAAATTGAACCAGAACAAAAACAGGCAAATTAATTTTGGCATTGGCGTTCTCACGACTTCATTCCCATGTACTTTTTGGTCAACGTATTTTTTGGTTTCGTTGAGATCCGTTTTTACCTTTCAGGAAAAATACAATGAACTATTTATATTTTTAAATGGCATGACTTATATTTTTATATTAAATAAAAAAAGAACTAATCGATATTTGTTTTCAATAAATGAAAGGCAATGGTGTTATAAATAAGAAACGGTAACATGTTTCAAGTGCCAAACCTATGTTACTAATGTTACTATATTACGTTTCGTAGTAGAATAACGAAACAAAAGAAAGTGTACTCTATCTATGGACAAAATCCGCAGGAACTTAGTTACCAACCCAGTATAAACTACCATACGACCCTGCCTGTTACGTGTCTGTGTTTAATAAAAACGTTTCTATCTTTTTATTGGACCTAATTATACTGTTGTTGTCTATCACAATGTTTATTAAACACTAAAGTTTTCTCTATACAGAAATATATAATAAATTTCTTAATAGAAAATACAATCTAAATGTAAAATATAAAACTATATGGCCAGTACGTCAGGAACATATACATACAGTGAGCCTTATTAAAAAAACAACACAGAAAAAACTATAAAAAATGCATTATTATTGTTTTTGTATTGTGTCTATATATACGTTTATATTATAGTTTAATTAACAGCAAAGACCCCATTGAAAATGTTATTTCCCACATAGGGACCGGATTTGTTTATTATTAATTACGTAAAATATATTTTAAATATGTTTTTATTGTACAATATTTGAGGTAGACATTATTTAACCCCTAGATGTATTTCAATTAAAGTGCCCACGGGTAATCTCGGTCCCAACGTGTAAATTTACCTTCTTTGTGACCCACCGGTGGGCATGCGGTGTGTATAACGTGTAAATGTATGATTACCGTTCCAGTGTTAAGTATTTTTCACACTTTCAGGTTTCTCCCGCAGTAATAAATTGTCACGGCATATGCGTGTTCACACTGGTGTTAAACCGTATAAGTGTACATATTGTGAAAAAGCATTTTCACAGAGCAATGATCTGACACTCCACATTAGACGGCACACGGGAGATAAACCGTACATTTGCGAGGTGTGCGGCGATAGATTTATTCAGGTACTATTCTCACTTGTTATCTAAAGGTATACTAATATTATAAAGAAGGAATTTGAAAAATTCTTTCACTGTTAGACCAGTAAATTATCCCTGAGTGCTAGATGTACCCGCGGTTTCAGCAGCGTTAAATTTCAATATATAAATTTTTGATGCATAAGTTATATTACTGTAAAGTTTAATCAAAATCCGTTCAATAGCCTTTGCGTGAAAGAAATAACAAACATATTCACAGACTTTCTTGTTTATAGTATTATTAAGATAACATCACGCTACGACAAATAGAAGCGAAGCAGCAATGAAAAATGTTGAAAAGAAAATCATCTTGATTACTTTGAAATGAAATGAAATAATTTATTTGCGAAATAGTACAGTAGATATGATGTTATAGGGAATATTATTGATCAGCAGTATTTACTATATAGGCATGCAAATTATGTGATTTACTCAAATATTCTTGGACACTGTAAAAATTACCAAGTGGCAACCAATTTTTTAATTTGCGTTTGAACAATGAAATTACAATTATCTCTTGAAAGATAGTACTATTCGATTGCCATACAGTATATGTTTCTCTTATATAAGTTTAATCGACACCTTGGTGTATAAGTATTTAATATTGAACAAAATTGTCTTTTACATGTTTGATTAGGACATTTTAGGAGTCATCTTATTATAATGAAATGAGAACTGTACGGACTGACATATACTTATTATAACATAGTTAAATCAAAATGGAATATTAGGATCGTGTGAAGCCTAGGCTGGGCGAGTTGCTCGATAGTAATATTTTGAATTAGTACTTTATAGAGGGGGAATTTGTGGTCCCTTATAATTTTATACACATGTTTGCTTGGATCTTGGCCCAACATAGCTTTAGTAAATATATTTGGTTGCTATCGTTCATACAAGAAATAAAACTCCCACATATCAGTTGTCCTACTTACTGATTCACTAATCTTTTTATAACAGGAAATGAATTGTATTGCAAACTGTGTACATAATTGTACTCATCGATATAACCAACATTTTTACAAATTTCATTTGAAATTTAGACGGTTTATACGAAAATAAACAAAAATTGCCCTTTTAACATATATGTTAAAGGGGCAATTAATCACAGGCTATTACTTTGAATAAAAAGCCTACCTCATTGAACCAACTCGAAATATGCGCGGCAAATGTTTTTATGGGCAGTCAAGTCTTGTCTACATAAAAACAAAAATAGAAAAGAGTCGCTGTGGTATTATAATATTTGTTAATATAATATTACCGGTGCTAGTTTTAATAGAATATTTAGACAGGGTATTGTAATTTTTTTTGTGTTTTACTCAGTAGAACCTACTAAATAGCGGTAGGAAATGTATGTATACATACATACACATCGTATGTAATTAGGAGTAAAAAGTAGTAGCTAACATTATAAACTAAAAATATATCTGCTTCAGATTGTTTTAAAATTATTTTTATTAGTTATGACTTTTTAAAATTAAGTTAATCAATAACATTACACGAGAAAAATTTGATTACTTCGTTATTAAATAGATAAGAGAAACGTAATAAAAAACATAAAGAGAGTACAAACAAAATTCAAATTAACAAGTATAAGAAAATAACACATAAGAATAATAATAATGTTTAAAAAAACACTACACTTTAACTTGCGTATAAAATAAGAACATAAAATAAACATAAAAATACATATTAGGTGTCACAGGGATATGAAAGGATTGAGCTACACAGTGAACAATTTGATCAACGAGCAAGACACTGATTTTCTAGATGACTGACTAGATGAGTGTAGCGACATATTCACTTAAATATTAAAGCGGAATACACGTTAGACAATATATGCTGTATATATCTGTATTTTTTACAGGGCACTGCGTTGCACAATCATCGACGTACCCACGGCCATTTCCCGGCATCCTCAACGGACCAACATATACAGTTACAAAGTGTTACCTACACAGTTCATAATATTACTCAACAGGATTTAAATCAATAAACTTGTAAAATTTTAAAATAAATTTTATCATGTTATATTATAAATAAGATGTATTATAACAATAGTTGGAATAATATATTTTCAGCAATAAAACTTATAATCAATATGTCATTATTATTCCAAATAACCGTTGACCTTACACCTGGTTGTCATCTTCAAATTAGGTATTTTCAATTATCTTCTTATTTCTGTTTTAAATTAGATTAGTATGCTTGCATCTACGACCAGTACACTAAAATGATATAAAAATATTCTATTAAGTTATTTGCTTCAAATATGCACAATACTAATACAACATGATTCGGTATAAGCATATTCAGAGTATACATTATGAGTGTTACAATATTTACAGTTTTAGTTGCACTGTTCAGTTTATTGGTGCGTTTTGACTGTCAATAAGATTATATTGCATTGTATGACACAATCTTAATAATATTCTCGTGCTAAGTAGTCGAGACAGTTGTCGATTGTAAATGAGTATGTAGTGTGTACATATATAGTTTACACGGAATCTATTTACAAGGAAACGTAACTGATATAACCTAACAAAAATTCGGTATTGATTAAACTGAATACCACTTCAATTTACCCATTCGGATTCATATAATAAAAAAAAACTGAGCCCAGTTTTTATTCTTAATAAGATAAATGGCTTTGACAAATAAGACCTTTCTTTATAAAATATTCTATAACAAATTCAACAAACAATTGTTGCATGAATTTTAGCCACACATTTCCGCCGCACGCATTAGTCCAATGCGGACCATAGTCGGAGACGCACGTGGGTTGATCAATCTCTTTGAGTGCTGTCTACAGCCATACGGTTGTATAACATCACCCTATTGTCTGGAGACTAAATTGACAGGCGTAAATGTCAATTTTTCAAATAAGCCAGCTGTAACTGTGATACCGACTTATACAATCGTACTTATTAGTTTAAAAAATTTATACGCTACGTAATGTTTAAATTGACGTACGCACTTAAGAATTTACGTTACTGCCTTTGGATTAAGCAAAATAAAAATATAGTTGGTTAGATGCATATTGTAATATATACATAATGTATACCTAAATATTTTAAATAAGTGTATATTTTACGAAGTAGGATACCACACGAACTTTATTTATTTTATAGGTTTGTTTTAGTAAGTATTATATAAAAAAAATCTACTTTGATACAATTACTCTATGTTTATTCATTTTGTGTCAATGTGTTTTAAATACTGGAAAAGTTAATTTTCAAATTAGCAAAATAGCTTTAAATTTTAATAACAAATTGGTAAATTCCGACACAGAGGTCGCGGATACATTCGAATCTTATTTTACTAATATTCCATTAATTACGACACAGGCTCTAAAATCTTCCCCGTCTGCTGCTGAAACTTTACTAACAGACAATGTTATCAAGTCATCAGCTGTATTTAACTTTAGATATACAACATCAGTAGAAATAATGAAAATATTTAAACAGCTTAATAATAAAAAAAACAGAGGATCTATGGGGTATATCTGTTAAAATACTGGATAGTATAATGGAAATTATTGCGCCGTCTCTTGCTTTTATTTTCAATAAATATTAAATAGTTGAAGGTAAATTTCCTAACTTAATGAAAATTAGTAAAATCATACCGCTTTTTAAATCTGGAGATAGGAGTGACCCAATAAATTTTAGACCTATATCTATACTCCCAGCACTCAGTAAAATTTTTGAAAAATTAATCCTTATGCAACTTGTCAGTTATTTCAATTTAAATAATTTAATCCACAATAGTCAATTAAGTTTTTCCAAAGGTCGTTCAACTACAGACGCAGGTGCAGAGTTGCTTAGACACGTATTTGCTGCATGGGAAACTAAAATGGGTGCGATAGGTGTTTTTTGTGACCTTTCTAAGGCTTTTGATTGCGTTGATCAAAAATGACATTGCTAAAAAAACTTGCTTTTTATGGCGTCAAAGACAATGCTTTAAATTTAATAAAATCTTATCTATGTGATAGAATACTGAAAGTGAAGGTTAGCAACGCTACGTCTGACGGGTCAGTTGTGCAAATGGGTGTACCTCAAGGATCTGTTCTCGGTCCATTTTTATTCCTTGTTTACATTAATGATCTCCCATATGCCATGCAGGATAGATGCGGCATAGTATTATTTGCAGACGATACTTCATTGATTTTTAAAGTTAATAGAATGACTAATAATTATGACGATGTAAATAGTGCTTTGCGGCGTCTCCTGCACTGGTTTACAACTAACAATCTTATGTTAAACGCTAAAAACAAAATGTGTTAATTTTTCTCTGTCTAAAAGTTTAAATACTAATTGCAACATAAAATTAAATGACGTATCTCTCGATTTTATAGAATCTACTGTCTTTCTAGGAATCACACTAGATAATAAAACACAATGGGGTGCACAAATTCAAAGCCTTGCAGCGAAACTAAGTTCAGTACTTTATTATGGAATATTACTATGGGGAAAAGCGGCAGATATTAAAAATATATTCATATTACAAAAACATGCCGTTCGAGCGATCTACTGTATGAAGAGTCGTGACTCATTAAGAGAGAAATTCAAAGAGGCAAATATTCTCACCGTTGCTTCTCAATTTATATATTCAAATATCTTATATGTTCATAAAAATCTTGACTTATTTCCAAAACTAATACAATAAACAGCAATATTCATAATATTAATACTAGATTTAAAGACAAACATGCTGTCCCCAAGTATCGTTTAGAAAAAGTTAATGTAATAATCAGTAATCTTTTATGGGAATAGGTATAAAAATTTACAATAAAATACCAAAGGATATGTTGGAATTACCCTTAAATAAATTCAAAACATCTGTTAAATCATATTTACTGAGCAAAGCCTATTACTCACTAAACGATTACTTGAATGACGAGTGTGCATGGCAATAGTTGTTCATGCACTGAATTTTCATTTAATGTTAGGCATAGACACCTATATAAATATACATTCTAAATAAACTGGCTTTAAAAAAAAAGTAATTCAATTGAGTTTCTTGCCAGTTCTTCTCAATTGGATCTATATACCGAACTGGACGGTAGGGAAAAAAAATAAAATTAGAATGTAAAAATTTGACGTTCATAAGCGGCTAAAATGTCCTACATGAATAAATGATTTTTGAATTTGAATTTGAATTTGAATAAACAACGCCACACTATTTCTAAGGTTCTTACAATTGATATTTATACCTACAGAGAATGAACGTCTGAAAGAAGAGAAAAAGATAATGTATAAAAAAATTAAAAAGGAAGCAAAAAAGTAGTTGCTATAGCCAGAACAAGAGCCCTAGATAAAATATACAGGTCACTTGATGACCCTAATGGCCATAAAGAACTAAACCGGATAACAAAAATGAGAGAAGAAAGAGCGAAAGATATGAAGCATGTAAAATGTATAAAAGATGATACAGAACAAATTTTGTTGAAAGATGACGACATAAAAGCACGTTGGTAGGGATATTTCAATAAACTTATATATGGGATGATGCTCTAAAAGATGTCTCAGTAAACATTGGTGTAGTGAATGAGATTAGTATGGATGAAGTAAGAAAAGCAGTGAAAAGTAGGTATGAAGAATGGGAATGCAGTGGGGCCAGATGGTATACCAGTAGATGTATGGAAATTATTAGGAGAATTATTATGGCTGCAGGTGGCTGACTTTATTCTTTAATAAATTATTGCAAGAAGTGGCGATCCCTGAGGAATGGTGCAATAGTACACTAGTGCCCATTTTTAAGAATAAGGGTGATGTAGAGGATTGCAATAATTATCGGGGAATAAAGCTAATGTCGCACAGTATGAAAGTATGAGAGAAAGTGATAGAGAAGCGATTGCGTGAAGAGACGGATATCACCCAAAACCAGTTTGAATTTATGCCAGGTGCCAGGTTTATGCCAGGTACCACATATGCTATATTTACACTGCGTCAGCTGTGTGAAAAAGAACTTGCACATGGTGTTTGTCGACCTGGAAAAGGCGTACGATAAAGTACCCCGACCGGTTTTGTGGTGGGCCTTGAAAGATAGAGGAGTGCCAGTGAAGTATGTGGAGTTAATTAGTGCTATGTATAGTCAACCTCGTACATATGTGCGGTCGGCCGCTGGAAACACCAGCGAGTTCAGTGTGGCTGTAGGCTTGCATCAGGGATCAGCGTTAAGCCCGTATCTCTTTTTGTTGATAATGGATGCCTTGACGTCGGAGATACAAGAAGAGGCACCCTGGTGCATGCTATTTGCAGATGACATTGTGCTCGTTGGTGAGGAGGGAGCTGGGATACAGAGTAGATTGGTGATGTGGCAGCATAAAGCTGGAAAGCGGGAGCTTAAAAATGTGTGTTTCCAAAACGGAATACATGTTTTGTGGTTTTGGCGGTCTTTCCGGCTCTGCAGCCATATCACTAAATGGAGCTCCATTACCGATCTGCTCCGATTTGCAGTATCTAGGTTCCCTCCTCCAAAGCAACGAATTAGACAGGACCATAAAGCACAGAATTAACGCAGGATGGATGAAGTGGCGGCAGGTTACAGCAACGAAGTGTGACTTGCGTGGCTTAAGGGAAAAATTTACAAGACCATGATCCGGCCTGCTGTTTTGTATGGATCAGAGTGCTGGCCCGTAAAGGGGACGGATGAAAGACGACTGCATGCAACTGAAATGCGAATGTTGAGGTGGATGTGTGGTTTGACAAGAATGGATAAGATAAAGAATGAATACACATTAGAGGAAGAATGAAAGTGGCACCGGTGTCAGAGAGGTCGAAGAGTAATCGTCTATCATGGTATGGACATGTAATGCGTAGGAATGAGGATAATATTTTAAGGAAGGTGTTACATATGAATGTGGATGGTTATGAGGGCAGAAGAAGGCCGAAAAAGAGATGTATGGACTGTGTGAAAGATGATATGTTAAGAAAGGAAGTAAATAACGCGGTGACTGCGAACAGGGATGAATGGAAGAGAAAAACATATTACGCCGACCCCAAATAAATGGGATAAGGAAGAAGCAGATGATGAATTTATATAAATTTCCGATATTATATATTTTCGGAGAGAGAGACATAGATAATGTCTAATTTGTCTCCGAGATAAAAAAACAGGCTATTGTAACATTTTTTTATTTTAATTAGGAAAATATCTATCAGGATATCGAAAACGTAAACCCATTTGATAGAATTATAGACAAATGCAAGAAAACAGTATTATAAATATAAAATATTAATCAATTTTCTATTAAAATATAATAATGTAACTAGATAGGTATCTACTTAAACTTCATATAAAGAGGCCAGTTTTTTTAAATATTAAGTAAGTATATTTTATACGTGCATATATAATAATAATATTAATAAAAAGTCAAGTACTCTTTCTCTATGTTACTCTTTTGCGAAAAAAAAAATGGATTTATATGTCTGTGTGGAGGAGTATATATATAAATGAATGACATCTATTTCACAGCGAAAATTTTTTTTGTTTCCATCACACCAATAATAATATATAATGTATTAATTTATATTGTAGACAAAAATAAGAGGCATTGCTTGACTATATATACTTTACTTACACATATCCCTAAGTACTCCATAAAATGCCATACAATCAGTTTTAGAATTGTATAATAACAAAACAAATATTTGTACTATGTGTTTGCATCTAGCCTAAAACAAAAAATATATAAACGTAATTCTATTTGAAGCTTATATAAATATAAAATATGCAAAAAGAATTATATTCCTATAAAAAAATAGAAGGCTAAGGAGACTCCTTAATATTTGCGTCTAAAACGTGAAGTAACCATGGTCTACGGTACGATCTAGCGAGCGCTGGCGGTCGATTGCAAACACGTAAAATTAACGTGGTGGGATGTATGGTGCCTGAAAATATTTTTTTACGGCGTCACCTTAATACGGCCTTCGTTAGGAAAGACGTATCATGTTATGATACCCATTATGATATGATACGGAATGGTAACGGAGTAATGGTACCGTTACCATTCCGTAAGATTAATATATAAGCCACCGTACTCAATAAAATCAAAGCCAAATATAGGCTACAAAGTGACCTGAGGCATAGGTACTCCCCTTTGTACAATATACTTTCTACAAATTCTACTTCAGTCGAATTTGGAGATAGTGAATAAGAAAAGAGATCTGATTACGAATTTAATTATGATTAGGTAGTCGTTAATTATATTATATATTTCATTATTCTTTTTCAATGCTTCATTTTTATATATAATGATATTTTCGGCCAGCATTGGTACCTATATAACATAGCTAGTAGGGAACGCTTTGTCCCGAGTTGTCAATAAAATCGGTCTAGTATGCGCAGGTCCTCCCCATTCTAGACCTATTCAAACTACCTATAGATGTTACGTGCAAGTAAATCATTCTGTCGAACTGTTACGTTGAGAGTGGTTGTGTACATTACATTTTAATTAATATTCACCATTGTTAAGTATACCTAGTATTAATTCCGAGTGCAGTGTACGAGTAGTTATAAATTCTTTTCGGTCATATTGTGCGGAACCGCGAGGCGCTCTCGTAGCTCACTTTTCGGTAAGGACATAGTTTCAATTTTTTCTTTGTGTTTAGACACCGTAATGGCGACGCAAAGAACAAAGCCCTCATCCAGGCTGGGTATATCTCTACCCACTCCAATAATTACCGATAATACCAACTTGCTGAAACTAAATCAAACCCAGTCTGATTACATAAATGCCCTTGTGGATCAAAAAATAGAACAGCAAATGATTGCATTGAATAAAAAGATGAATAAACGAACTCAACCTGAGTGTGATTACATAAATGCCCTAGTAGATCAAAAAATAGAACAACAAATGATTGCATTCAATAAAAAGATCAATGTGAAACGAACTCAACCTGAGTGCGATTACATAAATGCCCTAGTAGATCAAAAAATAGAACAACAAATGATTGCATTCAATAAAAAGATCAATGTGAAACGAACTCAACCTGAGTGCGATTACATAAATGCCCTTGTCGATCAGAAAATCGAACAGCAAATGAATAAATGGAATAAAAAGATGAATGCCAAACGAAATCAACCCGAGTTTAATTCCACAATTGCCCTTTTACAACATAAAATAGATCAACACGTTTCATGGAATGAACAGATGAATGCTGCATATAACGGTCAGTTGTCCAAGCTCCAAGGTGACATATCAACAATTAATTCTACCATAGAAAACATTGTTGCTGATATAGATCGTAACAAAAAAAGTTTAATTAGAAACAACTTACACAAAGCGGAACTTGAAAAATATAGGGAGTATATGGATACATCTCATGAGTGGCAATTTACTATAAGCAATCGTGTCGACAACATCGAACGAAAGGCTTTACAAGTTACAGAGTTGCTCAACGAAATTAAAGTCCTGGAGAATAAGATCGCAGATATCGAACAAAGGGGTAGAGAAAAAAATATTGAAATATCTAACTTGCCCGAAAACAATGACGAAGACTTATATAAAGTGTTAGAAGAGTTATGCGGTTTAATGGAGATATCTGTAAACTTATCCGATATAGAGTCTATTAATAGAGTACCTCATATGGATAAAAATGATCAACGGCCAAGAAACATAATTGTTAAATTCTTTACTAAACGCCAGCGTGATAAAGTACTGCAGAACTGCAAACCAACCAAAGGATTTATGGTTATGGGTAAACCACACATGGTTTTTATAAATGAGCATTTAACGATCAGGAACAAACTCTTGTATAAACAATGCAGGGAAGCTGCCAAAAGGAATGATTTCAAGTATACTTGGATCAAACACGGAGTAATACTCATCCGTAAATCAGACATATCTCCAGTATTTGCTGTAAGAACGCATGATGAAATTGCAAAAATTCAGTAAATTTTGAATTTTTTTGGAGGCGTTACTTTATTTTCTGTTTATTTTGAGCCTCTTGATTGATTTCATAAGGGAAATTCTGTTTCTTATTGTTTCTATATTGATATATATGAAGATAAACAATTCCACCCATAGAAATTCATTTTTCGAATTCGAAATTGTTTATACACTTTAGGGAACCTATTTTTCAATTTAATTTTTTAATTCATTTTGATATGAAATTTCATTTGGTATTATTTATTCCGATGAATTTGTTAATTAACCACACCTTTTACCTTGTTGCATATGTAATGTATGTATCAGTACATAATGCAACAAGAGTCCGCGTTCCTATTTATGAGAACAGGATCAATAAATTGCGGGCGGCGGACAGCGGGCGCGGGCGGGTATCGGTGCAACAACCTCGAATGCAGGGACGCACCGCCACGCGCCATGCGCAATGCATGCACTCCCCGCTGTCCCGCCAGCCAGACGCTTCACCATCTATATGACAGTGTAGTATATCACTAGGCAACCATGTTTCCGACATTATAATGCCGCCAGATGGGGAGGAGGGAGCGATTGTTAACAATAGGGATTAAATTGGAATTCAAAAATAATTTCATCATGAACCAATTTATATTGTATCAACATTCTTATCCCAACTGTCCAGTTCAGTCTATAGATTTCATTGAAGAGAACTGGCATTGCTAGCAATGTACAATACGAAGACAGATCGATCGACCTTCGCGCCTTTTCCTAAGAAAATTATCAATGAAATTTTTTGCGATATCGCCACGATGGGCTAGGTCACGTAACTTTATGCTTGTTTTATGATCCGCCTATGCACCGCCGGTGCACTGCCACTAAATCATTAGAGCATGCAGGTGCACCAGTTATATTATTTCACATTAGTAAACTATAATTTGTTATAGTTACTTGCGACAGAGATTGATACTTGTAATCCACAATCATTTATTTTCATGAATTTTAACATGTATCCCAAGATAATATTTGCTATAGAAAAATATCAAAATAAGTAAAAAGTATGAAGAAGTTGATTTTTGATAAAATAATTTTATCTAACCTACTCGTAAAATAACTATGTTGGTATATGTTTGAAGATACGATCTGATTGATTTGTAACAATTCGTTACAGATTTTTACTAAATCCATGTCGAAATTCATATCAACTGTGTCCTACCTCTTTCTGTACCTATAGTACAAACTCCGGTAAAAAGTCATATTAACCGATTTGTTAACACTTTTAACAATTCTGTCGATATTATACCCACAAGTGTTAATATATTTACAACACTTATTATTGATATACTTTTAAACGAAGAATAACTTTCTACACTTTTGGACTTGTATTTTAATATTATGACTTCATATAGTATGTAAGCTATAAAGTGGTGATACGCCACTATTTCTTAATATTGTATTCTTAATAATAGTAGGTTAAGGTTACTGTGCGAATAGCACAATTAATATTGATGTAATGGACATTTGTCGTTAAAATTGTGTGTTTGTAGATCCAGTTAATTATAAGGAAATTATACAGGTTTTAATTTGGTCTCCCAATAAGATTATAGGTATTTTTTGTGTAGATTATACACTGTTGCTTACAAGTCAAAAACCAACCTAAAAAATAATTAAATTAAACCTTTCTAATATTGTATTCAATAAACTGATTATTTTGCTTTGTATTAAAATTATTAACTTAGTTTGGAATGATACGAATTCTTTGGTTTGTTAAAAAAACAGTACTATTTTCTGGCCCTATTAACATTGTATTAGTATTATTAAACATAGTTTAATATTCTATTCATTAAGTGACGAATGTGACATTCATTATAGAAGTCATCATTAGAGAATAAGACTTAGATGATAAGATTGTATTTTATCAAAATAACGAATTTAAATTTTATCCTCTTCATATCTCACTCGCAAATACGCGATGTTCTTGTACCTTTTGAAGGAGACGATGATTGTTTCGTGGGGTTGAAGTGGAATGCCAATTTCGAAGACTTAAAATTTGTAATTTCGAATTGCTTCGGGAAGACTAAATGTATACTAGTATTGAACGCAGCAATTCTATTTAGTGGATATATGATATAGACATTGTAATGTCTTAGGTTTAAGATTGTGTCTAATACTAAATAAACAATTTCAATGTGTAAGGGACTTTTTTTTAAATCTCTCCCTCTATAGTCCTTGTAATATATTTATATATATAGGTATATTACATTACCTGATTACTGGATAGGATTACTCTTATCATCAAGGCTTATAAAAAATAGCATACGAGTTGTTTTTATATTACTAAATAATCACCAGAAATTTCATAATAATGGGTCTAGCCATTTCACAGGAGTTCTACACATATAACGAATATTGTGACCAATACCAGGATTTTACTTACCTTAGAAGCACATGCAGAACCCGTGCACTATAAAAGAAAAGTATATTCTATACACAAACGAAGCATTATAAGGAATATCTATAATTACAGTGTTTATATATTATATAATATGTATATATATAAATCGCACAACATATGAAAGACACTTCTTCAGTATTATATCAGTATCAGTAGGGTTTACATTAAATTTGTATACTACATTTACTTATTTACTTACTTTACCAACTTTTAAAACCTATTGGTAACGGTGAATGTGATTCCTTGTTTAATTTATTGTTCAATTCATTCAATTGTTGTGAATCATTATTCACCTTTAAAAAACTATACAAGAATTATCTATGTACTATTTAACCTATAAATCTTACGACAAAGTATATATAAGTGTAATGTTTATATTTATTCATGTTATTTTATTCTATTTTGTTCTTTCTAGTATATGTAATTGGTTTGTATTTATTAGTTGTAATTTTGTTTTAATTATTATCATTAATATTTTAAATAGTGCCCTCTATCTACCCCTTTTATATATATATATATATATATATATATATATATATTTTCCACGTTTTGGTGCCACTGAAAACCAGCTATATGTTCACCTAGGACATACATTAAAGCTGAGTGGAGCCATTTCAGTGCATATATGGATGTAAAAAATGATTATTTTATGTTTATTTTTAATTATCTACACGGTAAATTAAGTTTAATTATATGTACATTTTATTTGCTCCTTTTGTTTCGTTTGTTGTTTATATTGTATTTTTTACATTGCACTGAATAAAATATTTTTCTTCCTTTCTTCTTTCTTTCTATTCCCTCTTAGCACACATTTGTAGTTATCTAGACACGCGGTAGCGTGTCAAGCCGAGTTTCAAGTAAACTGGCCTGCAGCACCGTGTGTATATTTACACGAACCATTTGGAGCCACTTTTGACCCCCTCATAACTCAAAAACTCTTTCACACAAACCTGTCAAATTTGGTTCATATATCACTTGCGAGATAAATATGTGTTCCAAATTTCATAAACATATCTCAAACGGCTATTTAGATATTAATGTCCAAAAATCGTCATTTTTATCACTGATCAACTATAGATCAAAATTATAACCCACTTCCAGATGACCTAGGAAGTTCAAATTTGGTATGCAGATAGGTAATTAGGTGAATATAAAGGAAAAAATCTGAAACTGGTAAATTGAAATTTAAACATATACGAAATATACTGTAGCAATCGAAAGTAATAAATGGTATATGAGAACTGGCCAAGTTAGACCTTAGGCTACAGTATATTATCGTAAGTTATAAGAAGAAATGATATTTTATATTGTTATAAATACATTTCAGGACAGACCATTGAACTTGGCACCCATTTAGATCTCATCTCTTTTGTCGTAGAAGTCAACAATCAAGGCATATATCATAATATTAAACTCGGCTATCATTTCACATTTATGTTTTTGATGGGATCTAAGTTATACACCACTAATTGTCATTCGTATGTAGAGCTAAATAAAATAATAACATGACGAATAAGACCATTTTATAAATAGATATAACCATGAATGTATGAGTAAATGCAATTGTCATGAATGTATATAGAAGTGAGTATGCTTAGGTACTGATTATATTGTATACTAGCTGCACCCGCGACTTCGTTCGCGTGGAATATTAACTTTATTTTTCTAAAATAAAAGTAGCCTAAGTTACTCCTTATTACATCAGCTACCTGCCAGAAAAAGTCCCGTCAAAATCAGTCATCGTCAAGTCAGTCATCATTGTGCCACAAAATGCTGGAATTATCAGACTCTTCTTATTTTAAATTTAATGGGAGTTAGTACTTTTGAACATAGATTACTTAGATAAATAAGCAACTCAATATAAAAAAATAATCAGTATATATATAAAATAATCCCTTATATACATTTTTTATTTAAAACTATTTATTCTAGGCATTATGATCTATATATCAGTACATAAAAATTGTCCAGATTTAATAAAAAAGATTTCTTCCTACTTAATAATGATGTACCTAACCAAATATTTTCTATAATACATATATCTATAAATCTATACATATAAATAAAATTGGAGTGTCTGTTTGTAATATTGAAATAACCGTTTTTACTACATGCATATGAATATAAATACGTCACATACACCAAAAAAAACACTTTTTACAATTTTTGTCTGTCTGTCTGTTGGTCTGTTTGTTCCGGCTAATCTCTGAAATGGCTGTACCGATTTTAACGGAACTTTATTTGGCTGGTAGCTGATATAATAAGAAGTAATTTAGGCAACTTTTATTTTGAAAAATTCTTTTACTTTAGAAATAAAAAGTTAAATTCTACGCGGAAGGAGTCGCGGGAACATCTAGTCTAACATATAAACATTGTCGTTATTTAATAACAGATGTAGGTAGTAATTTCTTATAAGATATATTATATATTATATAATATACAAATACTGTGTGCTTTTTCTATAAATTGAAAACATTTTTAATATCATCTGTATAGATAAATTACGTCGTCGTTTTATTTGAATTCTCTTTTCTTGTGATAAATGAATTAATAAATACTGATAATCTATACGAGTAGGTATTGTTTGTACCTTTATTTGTATAATAAGAGAAATGAATTATTTTTAATAAAAATAAATATTTATGGGTTTTAGTAAATCGTTCCTGACTTTTTGCCTCGCAGCTTCATCCGCGTTAAATTTTAATAGAATATATAGCTTATATGTTATTCTTATGCATAAGCTGTAGTTTCATTAAAGTTTCATTAAAGTCAGTTCAGTAGTTTTTGCGTCAAAGTGTAACAAACGTCTAATCTTATAAATTTTCGCGTTTATAATATTATTATTATTATTAGGATCACAAATTACTTTAATTTCATAACAAGAAAATAATGACTGTAAAATATCTTCAATATTTATTATTAATATAAGATGTCTGTCTATATTTAATAAATAGACAATGTTGTTGATTCTATTTATGTTTAATGGAATAAATGTGTGCTACCATAATTAACGATAAGAGATTTAATAGTGCCCGCATGATAATGGCAAAGTACCTATTACCTACATCTATATATTTATATATATTTTATATTAGTATATTACCCGTGCTTCGCAATCTTTAGCATGACACTGAAAATATAGTAAGTCTTTATATAAACCCTGATAGAAGGCAGACAATATACTAAAATTAGTTCTGTCCATAATTTCTATTGGGAGGAATTCTAAATAATAATGAGTAAAGTAAGTAGGTATAAACAAACATGGCTCGTTTATGGTTGTCGGTATGTATGATATATTCTATCTATATATATATAACTCAAAGGTGACTGACATAGTGATCTATCAACACACAGCCTAAACCACTGGACGGATCGGGCTGAAATTTGGCATGCAGGTAGATGTTATGACGTAGGGATGCCTACGTTATAACATCTACCTGCATGCCAAATTTCAGCCAGAGCTAAGAAAGGATTTTGATTAATTCCACTCCCAAGGGGATAAAATAGGGGGTGAAAGTTTCTATGAAACTTTGTCAATTTTAAACCGATCGAGCTGAGACTTTGCATGCATAAAACTACTACGACGTAGGCATCCCTTAAGAAATGATTTTGATAAAATCCACCCCTAAGGGGATAAATTTACGCGAGCGAAGCCGCGGGCAAAAGCTAGTATAGGTATAAAATTACTACGAACCTCTGCCAAACAACTTGTTCCTTCACACTGCAAAATTAAAATATCGTTGTTTCAATTGGATCTGGTATATTAACCACATGCAGATTATTTGCTTAATTAGGTAGATTTTTTAAATAAATAAATATATAATCTCGGAAAATGAACACAGATACAGACAATGATACTCATGAATACTCTAACTCGCTACTATCGAAAATAAAGCGCATGTATTAAACAGCTAGACCACTGAGGCCGTCATTTTTTTATATTGCAATCAAATTGATGGATTATCTGATGGAAAGTGGTAATATACACCAAACATGAACAAAGAACAGATGGTACGGTGGTATATCATGCGTTTCTATTTCTGAGAAACACGGTCTTGTCTCAGTAACTTGTACTAATATTATTTAACAACAGGAAAACTGTTGTGCCGACGGAAATGGGTAAGACAGAAGTACCGACAGACAATTTTGTACATTCTGGTCAAATTAATTAATTAGATAACTAATACCTTTTTTACTACGTACTTACTGGTTTTTGTAAAGTTAACTATCTTTATACAGTAATATTTTTCAGTATTTTGAGCAAGCTCAAACTATTTTAGTTTAGACTAGCTGTTCCCGCGACTTCAACGCGTGGAAAATAACTTTATTATTCTAAAATAAAAGTAGCCTAAGTTACTCCTTCTTATATCAGCTACCTGCTAAAAAAAGTCCCGTCAAAATCTGTCCAGCCATTTCAACCAAACAGACCGACAGACAGAATTTAAAAAAATATTATTTTGGTATATATTCAGAAGAAAGTAGTAAAAAACAGTTATTTTAATATTACAAACAGACACTCTAATTTTATGTATATGTATAGATCTGAAATTTATGAATCTTTATGTAGGAGATTTTAAAGTTAAAAAATCTTATTTAAATACTAGTGAAGATGTTTAATGTATCAGATGAGTGAGAGGTTTTTGACTGAATGGAAATTTTAAAAAACTAGACTGAAACATGACTTCGATATACCCATAAATATCATTATAATGCAATAAAAAACTATGTTAA